CTTGAATTGATTTTGAGAATATTAAATTTGACATAAAATAATTTTGCACTGAAATTAATCTAAGGAAACGATATACTTTAATATTCTAAGTATCCTTGCATCTTGAAAAAAAAAAGATACAAACGTTTTCAATATTGAGTTCTGTATTTTTTCTTTGGATGGTAATTTATAAAACATTTATCAAAACGAAATCGCGAATCAAAATTAATCTTCGTTTGGACAAATTACGCTTTAAAAGTCGGATGCAAATTAGACATCAAATTCAAGATAAAGAAAACCTTATCGTTATGTCATGGTATACCAATTTTTAGTTCCTAAAAAAACACACGAAGAACTCAGGAACTGGGATTCTGATTAACATTCAACGAAACATAACAGACAAAATTTGTTACCTCGGTCGCCATTCTAATTTCCGCGTAAAGTTCAACGATTGAGGGTTGCTACTCGAGTGCAAAGGGTTAACGTTTGTAATAAGCCAACGCTAAGTTACGATGCCATGAAGTATTTTTTAACTTCGAGGTTCGACGATCATCAATTCATCACCCTGGCGGTCTACTCTACCCTATGAGATCGAGATTAATTTAAAAATTGCTTTCCTTCGATGTTTGTATTTATACCTTTGCTTTGGGAGAAACGTTTATATACATATAATATTTCTAATACCGTAAAACGGGGTGGCATTGTCTGCTTTATTTTTCATTCAATTTTTTAACATGCTCTGGTCATAAATATGCCTAATAATATGAATAAAAGATGGAGTGGGTAAAGTCACCTTCTATGACCTTAATTAGGGCTTAATTAAGCGAGACTTCAACTATCGTACAAGTTCTTAGAAAACAAATTTTAAAAGTTCTTTCATGGGCTGATTACACGTCAGTCTTCTTCTTAAGTAGAAGGAAGAAAAAAAAGAAATCTTAGACCAACTAATTGCTTATTTAAGAACATCTAGAGACTCAATTTCAAACAAACGAAAAAAGAACAAATCAAAATTTTTGCGAAAATTGTATAAGTGAAGATTTCTAGATGTCTTCGTCGGTTAAGACTTTTCTTCAGCCAGTATCGATCAGCATTATTCTATCGTAGCCTAAGTGTCAAATTCTATAGAAAAATCAGTTTCTTAGGAATGAAACTTGCTGTCTGCTTCGGACAACCTATATAGCACTTTTTTTTCTATGATTCCTAAAAAAAGCTTTCCCAACGTCCGTAATTGCAGTTTCCTTAATGCTACACATCTGATGTTACAGTGCTTTCCAATTCATGAATCAATCAATACCTTATTCCTCGTGTTAGACGTACACGATTCTGCTTTGACGTTATTTGTTTAATCGTAAACTGTGATGGTTACATTTATTTCTAAAGTTTGACATTATAGAAGAACGTTTCAACAGAATAAGGCATAATCTACAAGGACATTGTAGATATTTTATATCCACAATAGAAAGTTCAAATAATGGACTGTTGTGAGGGTAGAGCATTTGAGTGACGAAGGTTCCGCTGCACTGCCTGTGGAATGATAAACAATCTTATCTTTGAACAAACCTCTACAATCGTAATTAAAATTTACAATTTCTTTTTTGCCAGTAATTCCTAAGAAATCTCATGAGCTTGATAATCGCGATTACCTTTACCAATCCTTTCGTGAGCCCTATCGCTGCTCTAACCTTAAGATTCAACACGATAACTCATACAAAAAAAAAATACAAATTGTTCTCTGGAAATTGGACAAAGTCACCCCATCTCGCGGTATCTGTACTCCACTTTCGAAAATGGTTTATATCTCGCAACGTTAGCAATGACGAAACGTGCAAAATCGCAAGAATTCTTTTTATATTTAAAAAGAATATATATATATATTCGCGTCTTGCAACACTCGCAATAGCCACAATCGAACAATCGTGATACAGTAGAGCTGTTGCGAGACACCGAATTCAACGAATGAAGTTCAGTCACTCCGATAGGCTACCTTATTGTTCATGTGTCGCTTTGCGCAGTAAAACGTGTTACCGTTCTTTATGGAAAGTACTGCGAGCACCATGAGAAGATGATGTCAATTCGAACCGAAAATTTAACGAAGCAAAGTAAAACAAAATGACGAAGATAATTACAATGCAAACGAGAATTTGAACTACTTACGCTATTCCTGCAATTTATGCAATTTCATATTTTTCTACGCCACTCATTCTACCCTCCCCCTCCGCCCGTCCTCAACCGTAAATTCTTATCACGCGTTGGGACAAGCGCTGTCCACGGGTGAAAAACCTCTTACGCGGCTTTGACCACGATTGCGTCTGACTGGACGCGACACGTTCACGCCCAGCGAGCTCTGGATACATAAACGAAACTTCATAAAAAATAAATGAAGTCGTCCCCACTACTGTTCCGTTTATTCAACGCGAACGACCAGTCGATACGCGCGACTGGTGTTTCGCATCGACTATTGAAGATTTAAATTTCTTCTGGTCTCCGTTATATCTTCATGAGATCATTGCCAATGTACTGGCGATGCTTCCATGATGAGAAGTGAGATCCAAACACAATCTCATTCAGACTATCTTCGATTACAAGCATTGGTGCATTCGTGTAATTGAATATAGCTTGAAGTCGTATTCAGACTCAATTTTGCTAGAATTTCGTGTGGGGGTGTAATGATCAATTATTTTGTGGTCATGTACAGAATAGTACAGCTTATTAAATAAAATTATATAAAACTACATAAAATTAAATCAAATAAATTTATATACCGTCAGTTCCATAAATATTCGTGTCCTCTATCTCTATTGAAAAAATTTGTTTAAATTAAACGGTAGGTTTGATGTTTCCAAGTGTATGCTTGCATAAATATGTTGATGTATGTATAGATATATACATGTATAATGAAAATTAATATTAATAATATTTATAATGAAAAATTCATTTGGTAATATCAAAACTATTATTTAATTTAGCCAAACTTCTTCAATAGACATATTTATGGGATTGACCGTATATTATGTGAACTAATATATAGTAAAATTACATGAAATTTCAATTAAATTTAGTAATTCGATAAAATAATATAATAAATAAAAATTGTTCATTTATTCGCGTTTACACGGAGTTTGTGCAAGAGTATGTACTATTATGAAGATTACCACAAATAAATGAACAAGAAACGTTAAATATATCAATTGTTACGACTACTAGTACAACAAGCTATCGACCTTTATCTATATAAACTTTTATTTCCATTACTGGATAAACTTGGCCAACAGCGAGTACACTGAGGGTCGCTTGCTGTCGCTGTCTCTCTTGCTCTCGTTGTATTTCGTTCACTTTTTTGGTCAAACGCTACCCATAAGGCTGACCATAGCCTTACAACGAATAGAAGATCGATTTCTTGAATATGAACCGTGCCGAACCTGGAAAGATATTCATCTTCTAAGGCATGAATCTACGAATGTGAAATACTAAAGAAATAATACATCAAAACTCACTTTCTTCATATTGTCTAAGACGTAAACTCTTCAGTGTTCTTTCGAAAATCTACCACTTGGAAATCTTTCTGAAACCAGTGAGCGTTTTAATCGATTCCTTACCACGAACCAACGATTTAAAAGTCTAACATTATTCTAGTCTGATACTATACTCTAATTGAAATTATCCACGTGGGTTAGTTGAGTTGAACGAAACATTTGTGCATTTAGCATATTTTATGCTTGGTGATACTGCCGCATCTCTTCTCTACGAATACATTTTTTGCTGCACATTTTTCCAAAGATCGTCGTAATAGAAATTTCTTCTAAATAATCTCTGTGAAATCGAGACCAAACACAGGGATTAATTAATGTAATGATTACTCAAAATTCGAACATGTCTTTATTTACCTCGTTGTCAATCAATCGTTAGACACGTACTACTTAGACGAAAAAACGTGTTGGAACACAAGTAGTATGCATTAATATTTCCCTACGACCAAGTTCGCTGTAATCAGCGTACCAATGCAACATCGCACGATAGTTCAAACTTTTTTAATCCTCTATCGCTCGTTTCTCGTCTACCTTAACTATAAAAAAAAAAAAAAAAAAAAAAAAAAATCGTAGATGCATCTTATTCGTTACTTTCCATTTCTTCTTCGTTTCCAAACTGCAAGGAAAATAAAACATGCCGAATAGATTCAGTTTCGATGGAAAAAGAGAAAACGATAAATCGTATACAACGGTAATATTGTCGACTAAAAGAAAATACAAAAAAAAAAAATATTAAAAATAATGGACTATGTAATTTACGGCCTCGTTATCTCGTCGATTGAAAAATTCCGTGTAGTTTAGCAGCAAAACTTTCAAGGCTCTCCCTCGCAAAACTAGCACATTTCGCGCACTTATTAATGTAAACTACTTCGTACTTTCCGCGGCGTCGACTCCACTTGGGAGACTAGTAATTAAAAGTTATATATGCACCGAACCCCCATCAAATAACTGTACGACGAATAAAAGGAGATGACAAGTGTGTGTTTACCGACGTATTACCAATTTTGTTTATTATTGTAGCATTAAGATATCTACGTAATTTAAGTAACGCGCGTCACGATGTTGCTCGAATATTGTACGTTTTGTAAGGACGCGAAGATTAACCCTTTGCGCTTGACGACATTTTTTCCCCGAGGTGCTTTTATCAGCTTCAGAAAATTTTTCGAATACTTGTCGAACTTTTTACAGGCAACATAAAAAAAAATGACTTTATACTCAGATTTATGCATGAACTTATTATATTTTAACATTTTATATATCTTTACATCTTGAGAAAAAGGAAACGAAAGATATTAATACTAAGTTCTATACTTTTTACACGAGTCACTTAGCCTTGTAATAGCGTAAAATCAAATTTATCACTCGAACTGATTTCACTATAGAAATTAATTTTGACAGAGCTTCGCAACTTTTGAAACGATGAAGATTTTAGAAATCATTTTCTGCCATTATTGTCGAATCTGAACTTGCGATCAAAAGTCTTATCGCTATTTTACTCTTTCTAAAAGAATACGAGAATCGAAATCTAATTTAAAGACTGCCGTCTCTCAGTCGCCACTCGAATTGCCACGTTAAACCCAGTGGCGGCTGAAAGCCGTCACTCGAGTGCAAAGGGTTAAGATAGTTAAAAGAGCGGTGCGTAAACGTTTACCTCACGACGAACTTCAGATACGTGCATTGTCCGAAGCATGAGAGTATTCCATTTTCAAAAATGCACCACGAACATTCCAGAACTTGTTAAATTTCTTTACTGCTCTCGTCACATAAATGTTCGAAACGTTAAACATGCTTTGAAGTAATTGTAAAAATGGGATACAAACGTACTGTTTACAAATAATAATTAAGAACGTACCGAATTTTATGTATTCTTCTCGCGAAACGTTGAACTCGAACTCTCCTATATTCCAAACGATTTCTACGCATTGTGACCACAATTACTGTATTCACGAATTGAATTTTATGAATTGTTGATATGTACAGTTATCGTTTCGTTCGATTTCTTGCAAGCAATGCAGTAGAATGTACAAAGTTAAAGGAGAAATACGCACATTGATATCGTTCAACTATTTAAGGATATTTTTTTAAACGTGTATTTGCATTCTTGGCGAGATGTACGTGTGCGAAAAGAAAGAAAATTTCTGATGAGTTTGAATGGGTTATCGGTTGCACGGCCGACACACCGATAACATTAAACGCGATCGATTTACGTGATTTTGAAGAATTGGGATACATTTACGATTATACAAAACGAAACCACGAATATTATAACGGAAGTTCACGACACGAATCGAGCATTGTTTTTTCCTGAATTGCAGTTACGTTCAACGAGACTCGGAACTTTTCACGATGGAAGAGTTCGTTTAATCTGCCAGAGAATAACAAATTTCACCGTAACGGCTAATTTGCAAGCGTGTAAATTCAAGCGACAAATGTTATTCGAGATATAGAGTTATTAGTCCATTTTTCTGCGAAATCACGGCAATAATACAAATGTGAAAACAACTCGTGTTATCTTACGAATTTAAGATTAACCGTTCGCCGTCGTAGCCGCTTAATCCTTGGACCGGAATATCGGTAAAACCTCGAAAATTCCAGCTACGTGCACAGTGTACGAAATTATGATTGATCACCTTCCATTATAATTTGAATAAAATCGGTGCACGTATTGAAAATAACAGTCGTATTTTCAAAAAGATGGAAATGTATTCACGGTCCAACAATTAATCACGGCTATTGTTAAGTCGATATTTCGCTCGTGGAATATACGTACTTTGAAATTGGCAATCAAAAATGGCCGGTAAAGTAACAAAGACGTTCAGCGAACGTCATTCATCTCCGGCGTGCGAGCACGTCGGTGAATTAATTTATGTTAATCCACGTGTATCTCGTGACGCGCGTACGTATATAAATATCGCGTCTCGCTCCTTTACACTGTACACGATGAGCACCGAAATATACATAAAACTGAACGTTACGCTGCAAGCCGGGTATAAAATAAATGCAAATAATATGCATACACGGATGCGCCTTACGAGCATTGTCTGACGCCACTCGTCAGTTCAGAATTTCGTAGTCTATCGGCGACAACGGATTTCGTATCGTACTGTCAATTGCGATGGGGTGATCGTTAAAAATCGTCCAAGGAATCGTTAGACTGTAGCGGTGACTATGTCCGATAATAATTAGAGACTGACTCCGTCGATCCTCAAGGGAGTATTCTCATTGGTCAACGGGAACGAAAAGGTGTTGCTTCGCGAATTTTTTACGGGGAAAGTATGAGCCGAGATTACTAGAGATTTTACAGTAAAATTGTTGAGTATAGTTGCTACATGTTGACATTTTTTAAGGTTGAAAATATGAGTGCGGGCTGCTTGCAAAAATTGGTGACGTTTGAGGTGCTCTTATTTGCGATCGAGGATAAAAGATCCCTTAAAAGTCCCTTGGAAATTTCTTATACAGAAACTATTAGTGCGAATAAGTACAAATTTTTATATGAATTTGTTGAGTATAGTTGTTACAGTTGAACATTTTTTAATTTTGAAAAAACCAGTATAATTTACTTGCAAGATCTACCAAAATATGGGCTATTACTCTCATTGAACATTGAGATTAAAAATGTATTCTTTGGTAATTTTTTTTACGAAGAAACTATAAGCACAAATAATTTGAAATTTAATGTCGAATTAGTGAGTGTATTTGCTACACTTTCACATTTTTCGATTTTGAAAATATGAATCTGCTTGGAAGATCTGCTGAAATAGACGAGCTGTTGTATCCACCGAAAATCGTGTATTTTTAGTATAGCTACTACCCATCGATAATTTTATATATTGAAAATGAAATATTGTTAGCTGTTTATCAAAGATATGAGGGAATTTTTATCAACTAGACATTTATTCTCAACTGTGATTGAAGTCTTACGATAATACGTGATCCACACTGTATTCTTCGAGTCTTCAGCAGAACGTAGATCGATACAATAGCATCGATACAATAGAACCTCGATTATTGCATGAAAGCTTCGTTGGTTGTATTGCGATGATAAATAGAAGGGATTGCTTAGCAACGACTGAAATTGGAGGGGAGAGTAAGCGATAGTAGTGATCATAGGTATTGGGCGTACATTGTGTAAATCAGGCTCCTACTCATTGGATTGGTTACCTTGATTATTGTGCATGAACTTCGATCGCTGATCCTCGGTTATCTCTTCGGAAAATGTTCCAATTTCAAAATTTTATTTCGAGTAAATATTTTTAATACCTCCAAATATGAAACAGTAGAGAATAACATTTTTCTGGCTAATTTCTCTATAAATGGGAATACTCCTTAGGATCTGAAAATAAAAATTACATGTATTTTAGTTCCATGAAAGAGAAAAGTTAGATTTTGCCAAAAATAATTCGCAGTACTAGCCTAAACTTGATCCTCTGCAGTTCTATGTTGAGCGGGGCTCGACAAACATAGACTGAGACCTGAAAATCAGATACGATTAATACGAATGAATTAAAGTCTGATCGCTCAGATAAAAAAAAGTATCTCATGATGTTAGAATTGCAAAAATATCGACGGACAATTCGTTGTATTCGAGAGCGCGACACGAAATTTATCGCCCGTAGAAACGATTTCAAAATTCGACGAACCCTGGAGCGACCTTATACGGAATCCTTAATCCGGTATAAAAATTTGTAAAAATACGGACCCTGCCCGTAAGCGCGAACGCGAACTAATAATAATAATAATAATACGTACATACGTAGTACATTATCGCGGCACTTATAATATTCCGATTAAGCAATCAAAATAGACTCATATTTTGTTTGTGAGTTATAACACGACAAAAAAAAAAAAGAAACCGAAGAAACCTGCATTTATCATCATTACTAATATTATTATTATAATAAATCTCAGTATGCTCTAAATGTATTGCCGTTGTTGTGTAGTAATCGTTATTACTGTTATTGTTACATTGTCATTGTCAGTTCTTTGCGTTCCTGTTTTCTTTTCTTTTTCTATTCTTCTCTCTTCGTTACCCGAATCACGTTAACCTTTTGTTTTTTCTGTTACAGTGGTGTGAATGTGTATGACTGTAGACGTATAAGTGTTGACTTTACGGTAAGCTAATTCGGTCTTATTACGCTCTCCCGATCTTCTAGAGATTACACATGTAGTGATAGTAGTTCTTTTATTTTTAAAAGTACTCATCGCAAACAATAGACGAAATAGGCTCACGCAAATTGATCATTCCAACGCAGTCAAGCAAACGGCATCTGCGTCGATTGTGCCCATATTATTCGTACTTATGTGCAAACATCTTGGAGATACGGCTGATATTACATTAGCGTTCATCCAGCAGCTGTAAGCAGGTTTCAACCCTATCCTTTCCTTTAGCCTTGTCTCTAATCCTCTTCCCCTTCATTTTTATCTGTGCCTGTGTATATCGGATAAGCCGTTCTTTCGGGAAATTACAAATGTTTAAAGAAATATGTAGCTACTCGTGTTACGAACAAGTCTATCCATCCAGATCGATTTAAAATTCAATAGAATCATCTCATACACTGTTTACATTTATTGAATATGAAAGTTCTATCTTACAAGCTTATAAGTCCTCTGTGACAGTAGTATAAGTGACTTCGTATTTGCGATAATATTTCGAATACATGTACAAGAAAGAAATTCGATCTTCAATTTGGAAATTGAGATAAATATTGTGCCATAATTTCTCAAGTAAGTTTACAGCGATCCGGATGCTTAGATACGTCGGTAAATCCGTAATGAACTTGATATTATCGTCACTGAAAAGTCTATAATTACTTCGTTTTATCATCGTCGCTCAATAGAATCTCATTTTAATCAACCCACGCGAGCATCGACGAAATTATCGTTGAAATACAATCAAACAACTTCGACAATGCGTATCCGCGCGAAAGGATAAACGGTAACGTTACGAATTAATCCATAAAACTCATGTCGAATAATTAATGGTTCCCTCGAAAGCCGTTAATTTTCATGTGTGAACAATGTTTCACGTCGATAATAATTTTGACGATATTCGCCTGGACGAATAAAAATGACATTCTGCATTTAACGCAAATGTTTCAAAATGCTGAAGTTAATCAAAAAATACGTAACCTCGGACCAAAAGAACGTAACGCTTCGTTTCAGAGTTATGCGCATGCAATTGGCATTGTTTATATCATTCCATGTTTAATATTCAGAAGAAGGGCGGGGTTGTCTGGATCTCGTTTTACTCATAGCAACTTTCCTCCAATTCGTGGGGTCGGAAGAAGATTATTTTGTTGTGGAAGAATTTCTTGACTGTAATACTTGGTTTCTTGAATATCATTTTTTACAAGGATCAGGAGTGGGATGAGGATTCTTTTACGTATAAAATCAGGTTTGAGATGTAGGACATGGTGACCATAAATACATCGTGGAATATTAGCCGCACATGTTCAGGCAATCTATACAAAAAATAGTGTAAATCATTTAATTGATCGAAAACAAAATTATTCTTGTCTTGGAAATGATCAAAGCCATTCGTTTCCAGACTGTTTGGATGGATCCTTCTAAACAAAGTTAAGAAATCTATTAGTATTAATTTTGATTGATTCGATCTTTTACTTACCCAATAAAAGAAAATTGTGTAAAGAATTCCTCTAGCCAAACTGAATACTTGAGACAAACTCTTGCACTGAAAAATAAATAGTAGCACAGTATATGTATATTGTAAATAATATAATACAAGAAAAATATTCCTATAGTTATTAAACTCTGACAATATACGCACTAATATTGAAATAAATGTTTTAATTATCCACAATTTTCTACATTAAATTGCGTTTTTGTTTGCATTTGACATTTTAGATGCACAAATGATCTCGTGTAAAATCGAAAGCATCCTACAGTTTATACAAAAAAAAATAAAAAACGAACATGCAATCATCATACATCATTTAGTGAATATAAAAAACATATGCGAAACGTGTCTAAAATACATGCGCTTACGCAAAATCAAATATGAATACTGTTATAAAGTTTTATTCTTTTTAGTGGATGATTTTTAATGAGAAAACATGGCCTCTATGTCATACAGTAGAATGGATTAAGATTAGAGTACGGTTCAGACATCGTGTACACATGGGACAGTATCCAATCAGTCATTCCATTAATTAATCTGTCTACCCATACATTATGTTTGAGTCCTGAAATGTGGCCTGGCGGGACCAATCACGCATGAATTTAGCGTGGCGGCCAACGTGTTAACTATACTAGAGTCAAAATCATTTCTAGCACATTCACTAACCGCAAATCAAGTCAGACTCGGTTGAAGGAAAAGTGATTCGACGCATAAAGCGTAATGTTTAACAAAGAATTTACAAAAAAAATGTCTGAAGCCAACTAAAACGTTTACTGTTAACATTATACAAAATATGCATCAACAATTGTTACTACTGATAATTGGTACACGAAACGTTAATTACTTTCACACATCTCGAAAACGAAGCTTTAAGTTTTCAAACGATGCAATTTTCCCATTTTTCTTCAACATGAGGAATTTGCAGACTTATCTTTCAGCATTTTGGAACAATCTATATTGTCCAAAGAAAGGATACACTCTCGTTTAATAAAAAAAACGAAATTAATCTTCGTATATCCCGAAGTAGTCCAAAAATCCAAGTTTTCTGTAAATTTAAAAAAACAAAAATGTTAAAGGAACCTTCAAACCCTATTATTTCATTACGAGATTAATGCGAGATAGTTTATACAACGCTATTTTTTTTTAATAAGAAACTCCGTGGGGCCCGGTTTCCATTGAAGTCATTTTGATCGAATATTTCCTGCTCTGTCGTAAATAGTTACGTGTTCTTTTTTTTTTCCAGGCGTGTCTGGTGGGGAGTACACCACCAACAAAGTGTGTTTCTCTAAGCGGCACCGGTAGAATAGTAGACTAGTTAGCATTAAATAATTTGCTAATTAGCTGTCGAGGCACGCCGTCGAAAACACGAAATTCGGAGAGGAACGGCAAACAATCATGGGGAAACAGAACAGCAAACTGAAACCGGAAGTACTAGAGGATCTCAAACAGAATACTGAATTTTCAGGTGAGTTTTCCTTTATAAAATACAGTCTATTAATTTATAATTCATAAGTTTCTTAAAAATAATTTTTCAACATGTCTGTGAAGAGATATGCTAATGTCTCTCTTCAAGACGTCGCGATTCTGTTCGTCTTTTTCAAACTTAAAATACAAAGAAATTTGCAGACATTGTTCTGCGAGGTGCTTCTACTGAAAATTTATTGCATCGGGTAGATCATTTTATACCGCATCGATCATGATTGCACTAGATATCAGGAACTTTAATAAAATTAAAATATAAGTCGAAATAGTACGCACGTGAAATCAGAAGAGTAATTTCACTGACTGATAGGTGGATTTTGAATTTGTTTGAAGCATTAGGGAACTCTTATCTCTTAAACTGCTAACCATGTAGAGTTCTCCTCTTTTTTTTATATATAACATTTTTATATCGTAAATGAAAAACGACTTTACGCTATAAAAGTTCTGAAGAATACTTTTACATATCCGACAATTTTTTCGATTCTTTGAATCTTTTGAATATTGAATTATTTAGTAAGGTGTTAAAAATATTACTTACTACACTCAAGTATTTAATGTTCCAAGAAGTCTTCTTAAACAATGTTTTGATATTCAATAAGTCAAAAATTCAATTAAGAAAAACCATTTTGAATGAATCGGAATAACTAAACTAAATATTTGTGGACTCTGTTTCACGAAAAGAAATGAAAACCACTGTTATAAAACATTAAATATCGTCCAATATTCCTCTCAATTTTTCAACAGTAGCATAATTTTTCTCAGACTTAAACGAAACCTAGTATCTGTCCTAAGCTCGTTCGGCGATCATGTACTTCTTTGTACTTGGCTTATCGTTAGTAGTTGTGGTTTCAGGATTAAGTAGGAGTCGTGTTTGTGCTACAAGACGGTGTATTTAGTGAAACGAATACAGGTACTTAAGTCTGTTTCGTGTGGTCTGTTAAACGATACCCTTGTTGGGTAGAAATCGTTAAATGGGTTTTTCCCTGGGGGATAGCGGCTTGTTGGTTATAGGGTCGCCTAATTGCTTACTGTCCGCGTCGCCTGTTTGCCTTGAAACATCTAAAACCCTGGAAATTCTATGGTCCAAGAAAGTTCGAATTCCCTTAGGCCTGCCCTGAATTGTTAGCACCCTGTAAATTCAAGGACGCCATCGCCTTGGCACCCTAAAGTCTTTAGGACTCACTATACAATTACAGCAATCTCAAAAACTCAACCTAGAAACTACGTACTATTGATGTTTTCGGTGATAAAAATTCATTTATACTGCCAGTATTTACGGAAATAGGCAAATATGCATATAATTTATTTACAAATTACGCCACGTATTTTAAAAATAAATTTGAAATGAAATGATGACTACAACCCCTACTCTAATTTCCCGTGGCTCGCATCGTACTTCAATTGTATAAAAATCTATGACGTCAAGTATAAAATGTGCAATTTAGTGTCCAACGATTCCAGTAATGTATGATTTTCTCTAAAGATGCTGAAATTCAAGAATGGTACAAAGGGTTTCTGAAGGACTGTCCGAGTGGACATCTCAGTGTAGAAGAATTTAAGAAGATATACGGAAACTTCTTCCCTTATGGTGACGCTTCAAAGGTAAGTCAAACGTATTAAATTTCGAAATTATTTTAAGCACAACAAATCTCGTATGTGTATAATGAAGATAAATATTTAGACAAAAGATCATTGCAATCAAGCAATAAATTGTATCAATATCAACCCTTTACACTCGACAACATTTTCTATAGAGCAAACTAGCAATCCGAGATACACATATTAATGTAAAGAAAAATTCTGTTTCAATATTTTAGTTGTCTTTGAACAGTTATTTATGAAACATCTTTTTATCGTGAAAATCCGTTTTCATAGAGCTCCAAGATTTTCGCAACAATAAAGACTTGATCGCTATTTCGAGGTGTATAATTTTACTCTTCCTAAAAGAATACATAAAAAGCTTAAGAGCCTTTCCTGGATCGATATAGCTATCACCGCTTTGAGGTTCAACGAAATCTAATATAAACAAAGATTGTCGTCTCTCGAGTGTAAAGGGTTCCTTGTTATTACTAGAACTAAGCTTGCATACACTGTGCTTAAATTGAGAACGAATTTGCACTACAGTAATTCCCGTTTCCAAGGGCGATACTTGTTAAATTTCATCTGCTGGTTAAGAACAAAATTTGTATACTTATTATCGTATCTTCTTATGATATTATGACTATACTGGTCAAGGCTTTCTCGGTGAAAATAAGTTCGGACACGACCTCATTTAGACTACGTTTAATTCTACGTATGTGTACTATTTAGTTGTAATATAGAATTTAATACAATAATTATAATAGCTATAATGCATATAAATATCTTTCAATTACATGTAATTATAATTAATGTGGATAATTTTATCTCGAAACTCACTTTCATGAGGAAAACTATACTGTACTGTACCAGAATATCAATAATGGAGGAAAATAATGCCAACAATTTTAATGGTACGAAAATAGTAGAATCGTAGTGTGCAAAATTTATTTATATACGTTTGGTTGTAAGAGCTATATTAGAGACCAGACCTCGGCTCGAGATAAAAAATCGTTACCCATCCAGCTCTCAAGTGAACGATCCGATTTTTTGCCACATAAAAGCAGGAATTACTGTATCATTGTTAAAACTATTAAATGTTTTGCCATTTTAAATATTCGACCACATTTTTCACGTCATACGATGCTCAGTTCGCAGAGCACGTGTTCAGGACGTTCGACGCAAACGGCGATGGAACAATCGATTTTCGAGAGTTCTTGTGCGCTCTGAGTGTAACGTCTCACGGCAAATTGGAGCAGAAATTGAAATGGGCCTTCAGCATGTATGACCTTGACGGTAACGGCTATATCTCGCGACAAGAAATGATGGAAATCGTTACAGTACGTGTCGAACATTAAGAATACCCCTCCTCAAAAGAACAGTCCGTCTGAACCGACGAAATTTATATTTTCCATCAAAATTTGGTAAGTATTTCGAATGCGGTCTTTCTACACGAGTTTCCTCTTTTTAGGCAATCTACAAAATGGTAGGTTCCGTGATGAAAATGCCAGAGGATGAGTCCACGCCCGAAAAAAGAACCGATAAGATATTCCTCCAGATGGACAAAAATAAGGATGGCAAATTATCGCTCGACGAGTTCATAGAGGGTGCAAAGAACGATCCCTCTATTGTGCGACTGTTGCAGTGCGATCCTAGTGCACAAGCTCAGTGAAGCCTTGGGCCATTATGCAAATATTATCGTGTCATCCAGATACGTGAGTCGGGACCCGGTCCGATAGTGTCCCACATACAAACATTACGATCGCAACGCAGTATACGTTAGAAGATATTCGTTGGGAAACTTATCAAGCAAAAGTTCTTTTTTTTTTTTTCTTTTTTAATTACTTTGGTTATGTCTGATGTAAAAGTTCGTTACTCGTTGTACAATATTGTCCTTACTGTTTCATAATATTTAACTCTCTTCTATTCTTTTTGTGTGTGTATCGACTTTCTTTCCATGTGATTGATTGTATGATAATCAAATTTTTATCGTCAAGAAGTGAAAGTAAGTATTAAACGTTTTGACGGATTTTCATGGGAAAAATCGTTACGAACGTGAACACGTTGCTCGAAAACCTAGGTGATAGTAGAACAAAAAGAAAAACAGGGGGACGGGGGGGCATTCAGAAATTGGACCGGTACCCGATCAGGTCCAGGGTCACTGGGCCCATTGCGCTTGCGCATACCGCAAGCTAGTCTCCAAGACTAGTCCAGTCGCTTCGTTTCGTGAACGGATCGATTTTAAACGAATAAAAAAAAAAAAAAGCTTATTACGTTTTCGGATGTACGAATCCCCGTGTGCTGCGTACGACGAATGACCTGGCAGAGGTGTCCACACTCTGATAATCGAGAAGAAAATATTTCGGTTCGTAGTTAGGACCAAGAATGTGCTTCATCCGACGTTACCTCAATGCTATCGATGACATTGATGCCATGGAGTAGCACTCGTGTTCCAGTTGTTCGGTTAAAAAATGCGATAATTAGCGGAATTCTAGTGTTCTGTGTTCTTGTGCTGCTGTCCATCGTTTCGTGGAGCATCTTCACAACTTTCGTTACGAAAGTTCAGCTTTAACGGACAATAGTATTAACATAAGTTCAATTACCGTTTACTTGTGGCACGATCGTGCGATAACCGTCTTTGCTGTACATCCTCAATTATGCTTACAAATAACGAGTTCATCAACACACTTCTGACGAGTAGTGGTCTTTAGCGTAAGTCTCCGCCATACGCAGCTCAAAGGCAAATTAATTTCTAAATGCGTCGTATGGTTTTTGTAAGCTGTTGTGTCCAATATATCTTTCTCCTATTCGATAGTCGCGTACTTTGGACCACCGCAGTTATCCGTAATGCATACCTTAATACTTTCACGTCTGCGCGTTTCACGCCGTTGCCCTTGGCATAAAACATAAAACGACATAAAAATTATTTTAACTTTTAATTCGATCCACAGTTTGATATAAAATTATATATAAATAAATATGATTTAAAGAAGTTATTACAAAAATGTATTCGAACACTATTTATTTCATAACTCTAAAGCAGTGATTCCCAAAGTGGGCGCCACCGCCCCCTGGTGGGTGCTGCAGGGATTCAGGGGGGCGTTGATGGCCAATATGGGCTGTAATTCGAAAGTTCTTAATTGCATTTCCTTCGTCATATTTAGTGGAACGTAGGTTCAATGCGGTAACGAATTTATTAACAAAGAAACAGAAATCAAATGCAAATAGTAAATCGTGGTGATTTAAGATTACTGCTGACGAAAATAGAGCCGAAGATTACTAAGTTGTTAGCAGCACACTAGGTTCATCCTTCTCATTAAGATGATTTCGAATGTTTTAATTTCTTTTTGTATTACATTCTATTCCGAGTTCAATAAATAGTTTCATAATTTCAAAGTTCAATGTTTCTAATGTACACCTTTCTGTACTATATTTTACATATTTCCTATTAATTGCTATTAAAATTAACAAAAAATTAATTTCCAGGAAGCGCTAAGTAATATTTTTTCTGAAAAGGGGACGGTAGGACAAAAAAGTTTGGGAACCACTGCTCCAAAGCATTTACTTACTAGTCTTCTCTGAAGTATAAAACTTTTCTATTTCGATTTAATTCTGTATTTAATATTTGTTTTGTTTTTTTTTTTTTTTTTTTTATATGACAACATGCAAAACAGTCTCCTAAATGTAACACATCGTATCTGCAATTTTTCTTACCTTATATATGAATAATATGTACATTGTCTTCTTTTACGTTTATCAGTTGAGAAAATTAGAGCCAATTGATGCTGTTTCAAATTTCCAAAAAGTCTTTGAAGTCTCCCTCATGACGCCACGTTGGTGTCGACGAACGGCAAAGTGCTAACAAGCATACACAGTCAATCGTATTTACGAAAAACTTACGTATGGATGTAGATACCTCCTTCCATGTTAATTTGAATAAAACTAAAAAACACTTCCAATTATATTTAGTTTAACATTTGATTTCTACAAGCATCATACTAATAATATCAAATTACAAGTAAAATTCGACAATTAATATTACTACATTTATGTAGATTATTAAAAGGAAAAATGATATGAAAATATTACGATTGTACAGAAGTGTGCAGTGAGTCCTTGAGTTACGCGATTGCGCCCCCCACTTATGCCTTTATACATAGTTTGTATGTACGTACATCATAATATGTTAAATAAAGTGTTCTTTTCTTCAATTTTGCTTTTTATAAAGAAATTCACGTGGCTCTATTTAACTTAAATAATCTTTTGAATATAATGTTGTTTATCAAAAGTATATAATACTTATACAATTCTATTCGTATGGAAAACTCTGGCATAATCGCGTAAGTGGAGGATTTATTGTACAAATTGTTAGATAACTTATAAAGATCAAAGCCTTTATTATATGTTATTGTACAAATTTACCCCGAAGCTCAAAGCCCATTCTTATAAAGATAATTCTTTCACTTCACTTTGGTGCTAGATAATCCAACCTATGAAATCATCACAGGTATATGTATATTGGATGGAAGTAACGGTTTTCACTTTGCAGCTATCTTTGCAAACTCTCTCGTTGATATCCAAGACGTAAACGATAACGTGTTCTCTATGCGCGCATTGTAAAAGCGTTAAATAAGATTACACTGCTTTCGAAGTAAGTTGAGGAATCAGATAGCGAATTTATGCTTTCACTGCGTACATTTATTATCAAGACGGTAATATATCGGTTAGTTCAAGTTGAAGGTGTTGCTTCAGTTTGCTAAAGTTTAAGTATTAAACGTCTTTGCAAATAATATGCATTGATATCGTATAAAAGTTGATAGAAATCGATAGATTCGCTACGGTGACCTCGCCTTGCTAGTATAAAGATATCACTGTGAAATCTAGTATAATAAATACGCTACCCATGTTTAATTGGTAGCTCTCGCTCGTATCTAGAACCTATGACTGTGATCACATAAATAGTGGAATTAAATATTAATCATAGAGTATTTAAAATTTTCAATTCATCGAAGGATTCAAATGTATTTGCACATGTGTATCGTGCTGAACTTTACGGTAATAGAGTGCACAAGCTTGTTTTAGGCGATATTCTGCAAGTTTATTCAGATTGACATTGTTAAAGGAGGACTAAGCACACGTGTTACATGCATTTGTAAGTTTTTCAACATTCTAATGATCTACATATATTGTTGTTAAGATTTGCAGTCAGATAGTTACGACAGCTCATTGCATGTGAGTATCAAATAAGAGGAACATATGCTTGGCATAACAGTTACTTATAAGGACATATATTTCATATTATACGCTGATGCGCATAATACTCTTCGTAATCCTGATGAGAAGTTTTCAATTGTTCATTACGCGCTGTCAAAGATCTACTAATGATCTAATAATTATAAAAAGACTCATTTTGAGTAACATCTTACTACTTTAGCAACAAACTGAAGTAATTAATAGTCGTCCGAGTAGCAAAGGTCACCGGAAAAATGAATGAAAGATCTGTTAGAATTTAAACAAACAATTAATAGTTCAACTAAAACAAAATCCTAACATCGAGGACACATTTCCTTAAAACATTATTTAAAGTATAATAGACAAACGTAATTGCAATGTAACCACTTATTTCATGGCGATTTTACAATGTTTTGAACGATAAGGGCATACTAAAATTAATTCTTACTAATGATCTTACTGTAAGTTTGTATACTTTATTGCCATTTTTATGGATATGAACTAACTCAAACGATTGTCAAACATTTCCACGAAACTACATCTTTAAATGTAAAATTAAATTATACTCATAATGATTGCATGTATTAAATTTGACGTACCGTCATAACATAATAACGAATTTTAAAAAATATAATTAACTTTTAAGGTGTTCACGAGTATATTTCCATGGAGACAAGCAGCGAAGTAATAAGCTATAGCTTTAAATATTAAGAAAAACTTATAATTGTTATTAGTGTGTTAGAACTACAAAATTGGTACGTTTGAGTTGTCCGTCTCAAAAAGTTACAGTCCGATGACCTTTGTTATAATCGCTTTATTGATACATGTTAATTTCCATAAAATAAAGGCAATCTTCTGTCAATCATCTCGTAACAAACAAGCGAAAGAACGAAGTCTTCTCGTCGATTCAAACGACCGAACTTATTGATATATCGGCTCGGTAGTTTTTAAACGGCTAGAAGCTTCAGATTAAAAAAGATTGTAAAAATAAACTAAAAAAAAAAAAAGAGAAAAGAAGCGAGCAGGAGAAAAGATAAATGAGAGAATAAAATTCACACGCACGAACTATTTTAGAGATTTATTTTTGCGAATGCGTATACGCGTGTATGTCCGTGTACGAATGTGCTATGTGTGCGATAATGTATCGTTATATGCGTCTACGCGTATGCATACGTGAGAAAGAGATAGAAGTAGGGGGAAGGAGACAAAAATAAGACAAAAAAACAAGCAAAATACACAAAATCTCCCGCCACCTGTTGTTCAATTAGAATTGGCTATTTTAATGCGTTCTTGCATATATATGTATACATAGCACTATAATTTTATTACTTATTCTAAGGGTAAGGGCGCGATAATATTGCAGTTTCTGCCTGTGCAAAAAAAGAAAGAGAAATACACGCAGCAGCAGAACAAACGTGTAACTTGTGATTAATGATTTAATTACAACACTAACAGCAATATCGACAACATAGATAACACATATATATTTCGAAAAATATGTAAATTAAAACCAACAGTGAAACAAAATTCGGAAGGCTTATTATTAAGGGAATAGGACTTCCATTAAATGACTTCTTATTTTACGTTTTTTAATCAGTATTTTACGTTTTTTTTTTGTTTTTTTTTTGTGGATGTTCTTCATTGTCTCTGTCATTATTTCCTCTGTCTATCGCGTGATAATGAATTGATTCACGTTCCTTTAAAGTTTCACTACGCTTTCTGGTATCACTAATCAAACATCTTTGCTACTTAAACACAATTATTGACAAGTGATCATTACGCTGGCAGTATTGTAAGTATTATTTTACAGGAGGGCAACGTATAAAATACGTATAATAAAATATATACGTATATTTGTATCTATGCCGAAATCTATTCTACTTTCTAAGATATGTATCACCTGTTCACCTTATGCTCATTAACAATTAAGGATAAAGACCACATAGTTATATCTTTAATCCGTATAGTCATTGTATAAACTAAATAACCTTATTGAAGTTAATATATGAGATTTTAAAACAACTTTGGGATTTGCTGACTATTTAATAAGTAAGAAAATAACAAGGTGCACGGAGTATGTTAATTGCAGAAAAAAAATACAATACAAAACGATAACAATTCCGTAAAAAAATACAAAAATAAAATGAAGAGTAGATCGAAAGTTCTATTTAGATGAGTTAGTATTTATATTTAAAAATTTTTAATTTAACACTAGTGAAGTCAAAATGTAATTATTATACCTCAGATTAAAAAGCAATAATGCGACAAAAGTAAACATTGCAATTAAATTAGCACAACTTTAAAGAGTCAATAACATTGCATAATTTTTATAATTTGACAGGTGAAATATTTCATGATTTTTCAACCATTTTTCTTACACTATTAATGTAAAAAATGAGTCATACTAATTCCTCCAGACATAAGTGGCATTAGCCAATTAATATTTAAAGAGAATGAACCGTTAAGTGATGAAAAAGAAAATTAATTCATTAAGAGGTCAACAAAATATTATATGACAAACAATTTTTATAACTTTCTCTTGCCATTGCAATCCTTTTCAATTTATTTATGAAAAAATTGTTTTAAAGTTGTACGTTAAGAGAAATATTATTGGTAATTTATAGTTACTTTGAATTACTGTTCATGTTACAAGAAATACAGAAAAACATTAATAATTATATGCAAGTTTTCAAATGCACAATTTTATTAGACTTTTCAAATATTTTAAAAAATCAGAGGCATTAAGTATGCAAATAATGTTACTTTGTCTGAACTCTAGTAATGAACAACAACAATAGAGATGAATATATTTGTATGCAAAACTGTCGGAAATATGACAAATATAAAAATACAGAAATAAATATATTATTATATTATATAATAAATGTACAAGTCGATAGAAGAGCAGATATAACAAAAATGATTATTTTAATGCTGACATTTAACTGTCTAATAAATAGATACAGAAATATGTAATAATTTGTGCAACCACCATTATTAATATTTGTATACTACTGCTATATTTGTATTTTTCTGTTCATCATTGTTATGAGATATAATTGCAAAATATAAGATTTAGCATACAAAATTACTGTCTAATGAAATTAAGCAACGATCTGTATACGATACGCTACTCGAGAATTTCTATGCTTTTGCCAATTTTAAATAGCCAAAGCTGTCATGTTGTAAAAAAGAAAGTACTTTTAGAACTACTCGACAGTTGAAAGTAAAAATTAAAAAATAAGTTAAAAGATCACAATAAGACTTTTGCAAATGAACCGTCGTTTAAAAAAAAAAGTAAAAATCCATCAAACATACATGTCCCTGATTGATAATTAATGTAGCAAATCTTGTTGTAAACCTACTTAGGATAGGTTTATGAAAAATTATTGTTGTAGAAATTGTTAAAAATGTTACCCATGTTGTTGCACATGTAACTGCTTTCTGCACACTACTAATATGATAGTTTCTCATTGATGCTATTTGTCAACATAAACAAGAGAGACATGGTTTGTAATCACATTTTTTATAGCAATTTTTGTCAAGCACATGTGTACTTAATGGATTTCCAAAGTGTTTTTGGAAAACGAACGTTTATGTGCAAAAATTTTATTTTATACTTTTCACTTATCATTTCATGAAGAATCACCTTCTTCGCAGTTAAGTCACCGATAACCGGTCATCCTATAAATAGAATATCAAATTCACAATAAATATCGTAAATAATTGCAAACTATTTAAATTTTACATACAGTAAATTCTCGACTTACACGGTTCATTAATTTTTAACTTTTTTGTCAATTAAATCAAATGGAAATTAAATTGAATAAATATGATGTATCTGAACAGAAAGAAGGAAACCTCAAGGACTCACTGTACACTTATGACGGACGAAATTGCCGAAGGAGAAAGAAAATTAGGATCATTAATTAATAAATATTTAATTTGATTAAATACGGGACCTATTCAATTGGTCTTACTACATATGAAAAAATATTCACTGCATTGAGTTATTTGTTTTTCAATCTGACTATATACAATACCAATACTTCTTATTTAACCAATATAATAGATACATCACTTGTGTTTGTTTAGCTACATACAATAAATTTTGTCATGTCTAATTAAATACATGAACTATTTCATTTGGCAAACCACAGATGGTCACTATTTCATTACCTATCAAACATCATTCACATCTCGAATTACATCAGTTACCATTTAATTTTCCAATAAATTAAATAAAAACCTTCTCATAAAAGTTCTTTGTGCTGCTGCGTGGCATTGGAATGTTTATTGTAACATAAGAATCGCACTAACTAATGAATCGTATGTCACATATTGTAGATTGGAGAAAGAATGGCATTTGTACAAATTCCTAAATATTGGAATATTGACAAGGGCATCAGTAAAAATGGCATACTGTTCTTTATTGCTCGTATTTGTCCTAATACTTCTTAAATTAGAAAGTATAAAGTTAGAAATTCGGTGAATTATCAGATGAGTTTCACTTCTACCAATGATACTTCACAATATACCTATTAGCAAAAAGAACATTTATTAATAAGAAAAAGTCCACATAATAACAACGCAGTAACTTTAATGTAAAGAGACAGTGTTTTTATCTAAACAATTTTAACGAAAGTCAACACTTGTTGCATATTGAGATCTATCTATATTCAATTATCATTTTTTGCCTAAGATCCTAATGTTTCTAATTAGAAATTCTTCTATAGGATATTAATTGTATGACAAATTACTAAAATTTCTTGCACGAAGGTTTTACCACAGAAGATTTACTTACAACAAAATACATTCGGTCTCATCAATGACACTAACATTTTATGCTTTAAAATCTGCATCTATCCTCTGAAATCTTTCAATAACAATTTCTATAGTGGTCAGCAGAGTCGTATAGTTTCAAAATTAAATAGTCTATCTTATTTGTACTTGTAAATATGTGATTATTTAAACAATTTATTTATTTTACTTTATAGAAGTTTAAAATTTAAACATGTTTTGCTTCCGTTTAAGTTATTTAAAAGAATGAAATAATCATTCTTTTTGTCAATCTTCTATCTCACTGCAGAAATATGAGAGTATGTACTCTGTGTCTGAAGCAAAAGTCAATAGTAGTAACAGAATGAACCGATTTTACTAACAAATATACATATTAGTATAAACATTTAAAAATAATTATGTGAATAGTTCTAAGTTTCTCTTATTTACTTCTGTAGGAATATTTGCTACACTCGTAAACTATAAAAACGAATGACGATACTTCTTGTAGGACAATTGACAAAGCTAATTAATAAATTATACGACTCAAATTTTAACAAACGAGAAAGTTAATAGGCGAAATTCTTAATATGTATATCATAAAAGTTGTTATAATCGTCTACCGGTGTTTTTCTCGTCGACTTTAAAAATGTTAAATGTTCCTCTATTGACATTGTGCTGTCTTTCCCTTTTGTGTCAGTGTCATTTGTCCACTGTTATTTTTTGTGATTTTCTATAATCCTTGACGTTTTTGCATGTTGACTATCTTAAAAGTGAATACCTTTCATCTGTTTCCTCCAAGGCGAATTTTATCATTATTAATTATTAGTAAATATCTCAAGTTTTTTCTGCTCTCTATAATTTACCTGACAAAACTCCTTCTCTACATGTATCGTAAGATGGTAATTTATTATTAATTCTACGTGTATTTATGTATTTATCGGTGCTATATGTGTATACGAAATACGAAGCGTGTACTGTCAATATTGCGTTCATTGTAATCAATGAAATTATGTATTTTGTCAAGCTTTCGCATAACTACTTCTGAATTCACAATTCCTTAAATTTCAAATATGAAAATCTGCGGAAAATCAATTTAACATGTAAATTAAATAAATGAAGGGATGGTCAAGGGATAGTCACATTGCAAATAATAAGTATATAGGATATTGAATATGTTCAGGATACTGAAGTGGTTTGTGTGAAAGTAGAGCGTCAGAGTTTTATATTGTAGTATTGTTAATCGTAGTTAACGGTTAATTAGTATACTCAGGATACAGTTAATTCAATATCGATAAAGTAACAATAATGTAACGTGATATAAGATGTTAACGTACAAAGTGAAGAAATACGAAAATCAAAGCGCAACCCGTTTTATTAAGTTGTATTAAGAGTGGAACACCGGTAAAATATTAATATTTGCGTACGTCGATCATAAGGTATTATGAAATATTAATTTGCTTTCCACCTTATACGTATTTATTGTAAGTAATAGTTGTTTATTATAAATAAGAACGAAATGACTTGTGTATCAGTTCATTGCTACATTAAAGTGTTGATATTATACTCGTTCAACTTGAGTTTTAATGTGTTTTTAACGAACGCATAAACGTGTTCTCAAAAACGAAATAAGGGCAATAGGATAATCAGTTCAAGAATATGGAGAACTTGTTAAACTACAAAATTGTATTTTTGTTTTTGTTTTTTATTAGATACAAAAGTATTTTAATTTAATAGTTCATACCAACTAAAAAAAAAATGTCTCAGAATTCGATGTTACTGCATCGTATATGAACGTGTTATGAACTGGTTTATACTGATTTGTAACGAACTTTATAACTTCCTGAGCTGCGAGACCACCTAAAAACGCTGATACCGAATGTAATTCGGCTCCACCAAATCGACAAAACTCATGCACATAATCATCTTTTGCTAATGGCCCACATCCCCATTCAATCAATAATTTGGTTATACATGCCTGGAAAAAAATTAAATACATCAATTTGGCCAATATATATATATATATATTATTACTATACTAATATAAAAAAAAAAATACTTTGAGCTTAACAATGTCAGGTTCCACTTGATCATCAAATTCACCAGGATACGAATTATATTCTGCTTGAAACTTTTCAACTCCCCTGAGCACAACGTAGTAAATCATCATACTTTCTGGATTTTCCAAACTTTGCACTGAATAAAATATACAAAGTAATTATCAAACAGTTGTATTTTTCATATTGAAATATGCGTTTAAATGTTATAAATTTCTTCAATATGTTACCTATATTATACGTATCGGAAATTTTAGAATCGTATTCATCCGCTATACATGTTCCTTTTTCTACGTATATATTTGAAGCGTGTCTGCAAAATAACTTAACATCTCTTTCGGAAATGGAATCGGATGGTTTGCCCAATTGCCGCAATAACTGAAGCGTACGTCGCCAAACTGCTTCTGCATCAGATGCCGCTTGTTTATGGTAACTGGAATAATTCAATTCTTGTAAATATAAATTAAAAAAAAAAAATGATCATAAGGATATGATCTGCAATAGATGTGTTTGAATGAAACTAAAAAATCGACATTGTTTAATGTCTTTGATTGATCATAATAAGAGATTTCTACGAACAGGAATCTTACATTTGCTGAAGTGTTATATACTTCTCAGTATCTGCTGTCATATCTGGCAAAGTACCTTTCAATGGTAATAATCCAGCTCCTTCGTTCTCGCAAAAATCTCTTATAGCTTTTGCAATAATCCAAAATGAACTGCTCTGGAAGTACAGTAAGTCATTTTAAAGTTAAACAATCTACTAGTATTCATACATTTCGTTTTTTTTTTAATACCTTGGCGGTCAAATTAATACACCGGTCATCATTTAGAATATTCTTCACGCTATCTGGAACCTCCGTATGCCCTATGCACGTATTTACGGCTTTAATGGCTTCATCAAAATTTTCTTCGATACTTGTTATGTCATTTTCATGTTTTCGCATGCCTTCCTTCATTAATTCCCTAAATTCACGTTTTTCCTTATATGTCTTAGGTAATTCTTTTCGTTCTGTAATCCATTTTTGTAAAAATTTATATAATATAATTAAATATGGTACATGAGTGTAATCTTTAAAGCTCATTTCTTCAAGATTGATTGAATCCAGATGGGTTTTTAATGTTTCAAATGGTTTATCTAAATGTAAATCTGGTGTTTCATTATCTGGATGTGTTTCTATAACTGTATGCTCTTTCACTTGAATCCTCATATATGCAATGAACCCTATACTTCTGCATACTATTAATGGTATGTTCAGGTCCCAAAGCCTTTGTGATAAAAGAATTAAAGATCTGAAAAGTATTTCTATTTAAATAAAAGTAAGTAAAAGTAATACTACATTTTTACAATAAATTATCATATCTTACTTTTCAACAAGCGAAGTGGCTACAACAACAGTAAAATTATTGAAAAAGTCTGGACTATTATACAAAATTTCTTCAGGTTCCTCATCTATATAATCACCTCTAACGTCTGAATTTAATTCTAGAAGCATTTGCATTGCTACCTGTGCCCTGGACTTTCCAACACTGTCAGCTTCTAAAAAGAAACTAATCAAATTGATTAAATATGTAAAGTTAATAATATAACATTGTTTTGTATATTATTAAATTATACTTAGTACATGAATATCTAATGCTAACTTTTTCATTTATACCACTTGGTCAATGAAGAAGAATTAAGAATACCTTAAGAAAATGAGTATTGTATGTTTCAAATTGTCACCTATCAATGTGAACAAATGTTAAAGATAACTACAAGACTCTAATATGTGTTTGGCATGAAAACTTCTTTCTGTTCTAAACATATTAATAATATATTTTTGTGTACATACTTTGCTCCAATGTCTTCATTAGTAACTTTTTTACCATCTATAATTGTAAATGCTCCAATACCAGGGAGGACCAAAGATTTCAAAATCTCGGTACCAAGACCTGTAGCATTTATGACACAAACGTGTGCACCTTCCAATGCAGCCTGACCATGATCACCCCATAACCTATGGCATGTAGGTACTAAATGATTATTGATATACATGTAAACGAATGCTGTAATATGTAGGTTTCTAACAATAATTAAACTATGTAATAATTGTTTTTATTAAAAAAATGAACGGAAGTACCTAACCCCAAAATAACCTTTTCACCGGGTATTGTACCTTAATTGTCTATCGTATTTCCTATTTCTTTCAGATTGTTCTGGCGATTTTGGAGCTGGGGATGCCATAAGGACGGATTAGTGAAAATAGTTCAATAATAACACTTTGTTAGCAGGAGGAAAATCTATACTTCAGAAGACAACATGCAATACACTTCAATCCACTTTTGATCAGTCATATATGTCACTGCACATGTGCGTGTAAAATGAGATATTGTCATAGATACACAACTACAAGTAAAATGACAATATAATAAGTAAAATTAACAGTTTATCGAATATAGAATTCTGTATCGTAGCAGAATACTTTTTTATAATTCAATACATATACTATAGTATTACTATACTACAGTACATATTTACCATTCCTCTTATGGATATGTATTTAGTTTCACTTTCGAATTTCTCAGATATTGTTATTTATTATTACTAGAAACTTACAGTGTCAATATAATTACGCGTATACATAACAATAACGCTCCAAACCTAATAAACAACCGAACCCTAAACATGAAAGTTATTTCAAATCAGACGCGGTTCATCAGACGCAACACTAATAGCAAACGCGAATCATAGTTATTCGCAACACTACCCTGAAAGAAAACGCGAAAAATACTACTTGAAAATATGTAAATTATTTTAAATCGAACGCGATTTATCAGTCGCAACACTAACAGCAATCGCGATCAATGTATATGCGCAACACTACCCTGAAAGAAAACACGAAAGATACTACTCAAATCTAAATTGACTCTAAATACTACTTTTAAACGGACGCAATGTGGGTGCTCGGCCAATGAAATTTGAGGATTTAAGAGTTTCCAAAGTAACGTTAAATGTGATTGGTTGTCACTTCTCAATATCATGCCCGGTCTTTTTGAACGGAAATTGTAATTGGAAAGTGAAAAGTATCGATATGTATGATATATGTAGATATATATTATTACCCATGTCTGTACGAAATTCCTGAAATTCTTTTCTTTCTTTGATGTATGTAACAGCAAGGGAGAAATTTGTTTACGTTTAGTAACCTTACTAATTTCGAGAGATGTATATAATCGATTTCATATGTATCAATGTATATGTATGTTTCATGTATAATCGATAACAAATGTAAGGTTACAAAGCAATTACCTCAAACTTTCATTTGGTAAATGCGTAATTAAAGAAAGCAAGCCTTGAACAACTTTATTTATCATTTTTGTTAGGACATTTCATCAAAGAATCGAGCACCCACAACCCACTACGAGGAAGCAGAAAGCCGAGAAGAAGACGTCCTTTCGCTCGGCGGTAATTGAAGAGACTAGACGTGTCGTATCGATCGGTGATCCGGCAAGTAATAAGTAAGCATAATTCAATTCAATTAATATCTAATCGTTGCTATTTCTACCTTGGGTTACTGCATACCGTCTCCTCAATACCATTTATACCATTGCTTGTTAATTGAATCGGTTCTTTGAGAAAATTAGATCGATTTCGTACTTTCGTCATTTTCGTTCTCTATGAGGTACCAATTGATATTCGTTCGAATATCAATTCGTACTATGGGAGTACGTCTTCTAGAGTAGTATTATCGTTTCTTTTTTCGTTTTTCTAATTAATTTATTGCTTAGATACAATAAAAAAATATATTTATTGTAATTTGGCTTCTAAATCGAATTCTTGAATGTTCCAGGATCTGACACCACGAGTCTGCGTGATGTTCCCCAACGGCCATTTTACGTTCAAACAGCATCTACAGAACGTTTGGAACATCAATCGAAATTTCTCGACATATAACGACAGAAAAATTGTGCAGCTTGCCGGAGAAAGCAGAATAATAGGTAATACTGTCTTGAATTGATGTCATTAGTAGATTACATTGATTATCAATTATAAATTTACAGTTCTTTATTCATTCTTTGAAAAATAATGATTTTAATCGTTTTGACCATCTTGACCATACAGAAATAATATTAATATATTAATTATAATTACAATTCAAATAACGTAAATTCAAACTCTATTAGCTCATTATGAATATAGAATGAAATTGTACAAATTTGCAGAATTATACAATTTATATCTCCTTAACAAAACCATCTAAATATTGAACAAATGTTTAAGATTTCATCTTTTATGTTTCTAACATATTTATAATGACTTATAAATATGTGTATCATGAATCATGAAAGGTAAAATCTGAAACATTTTTTCAATAATTAGATTCTTTGGTTAGACACAAATTGTATAATTTTGCAAAGTTACAATTTTTTTCTTACATTCATTATAAATTGAGAAATTTTATGAGTCGAAGCACTTTGACTATGGTACGCTACATTTTCTAGAAACTGTGAACATTTATGACACATGTACACATTTTTAAAATTCATAACAAATATGTTAGGAACATAACAGATACAAACTTAAACATTCTTTCAACATTTACATAGCTTTGTTGTACACGTATAAAACGTAAGAATTTCCAAATTTAGATAGTTTCTTCTTACATTCATTATAAACTAATACATTTTGCGAGTTTAGACACATTTACTTCATTACACTACACTTTTTAGATACTTGAGATATTCGTGAAGCTACACATTTTTATAATGTACTTTAAATACGTTAGAAACATAACAGATTAAAGTTAAACATTTTTTTAACATTCGCGTATCTTTTTTGTACAAACGTAAAATGTATGATTTTGCAATTTTAATGTTCTAATATTGTAACTACTGCAATTTTTAGAACATGTTATTAATTCATGTAAGTTTTGTTACAGATTTTCTACTGAGGATTATTTTTATTAGAATTGTTCGCGTTTTATTTCAGATTAGTGTTGCGTATGAAAGATCAATCGCCATTGCAATTAGTATTGCGTATAATTAATATCGCGTCCGGTTTGTTGTAAATTCACGCGTTTTGAATTAGTATTTTGTCATATGAAAAGCCAAAAATTTGACACCTTCATCACTTGAGAAATTACCAAGCAGCCAAAGTGGCTGCCACTATGATTCTCCGCAGCCTGAGATGGTTGCACTGGATTTTTAATTAGGGATTCGTATTACTTGGTGCACGCGATTTGTTCTTTTTGTACTTAATAGATTAGTATTTCGAATAATGATGCACCTCGCGATTTCTTTTGATTAGTACTTTTCGCGTTTTCTTTCAGGGTAGTGTTGCGAATAATAATGAATCGCATTTTCTATTAGTGTTGCGTTTGATAAATCACGTCCGTTTTGAAGTAACTTTGTATTTTTAGTTAGGGCAAGAACAAAAAAAGAAGACCTTCTACGGATTTTTTTTATATTTTTGAAGTATAGAGAATAATATACGTTTCTTCTGTTGCAGGTGACTGAACCAAATTGTGAATGAAGTATTTGGCAATAAAAACACTGTTATAAAATATATATTGTGTGTTTCAGAAATCATCGTCGGGTTAAGTTTTGGTGTCAATTTTTTTTTAATTTGGGGTAATACACCCCCGGGCAGAGCGGGAGGGGACACAACATTTAGATTAAGGATAATGGTGGCTAGGGTGTTGTTTTTGTCTTTTGTATCCTCCACGTGGTGAAACCTGGGCCCTCTATATTATTTAAGTATGTAATTGCTAACTGCACATCGTCAGTAAGGCCAGATGGCGTTATCAGTTGCATACTAATTAATATGAGCTAATGGCTGCAATCTTTCTCGTTTACAAGTAAATGAAAGTACGAGAACTTAGAATTAGTCTAAAGTATACATAATAAGACATAATGAGAAAGTTGTTATGCAAATAGTTTACACTATTTATATAAATAATAAGTCGATAAAAATTAAAACCAAATGGTTGTACCCAAAAATGTTGAGAAAATAGTTCCTACCATTTCTGTCAGATGGCGTTACTGATACAATATTCTTTGCTTTATAGCACTATATATATTAGTTAATATATCAAATGTATTATTTTTATAAATAATTATTCAATACTGCCATAAGTATCGACTCTGTTAGTGGCGCCATCGGTGGGTATACGCCCAAGTTTGTAGTGAAAATAGTTCCAACCTTTACAGTAAGATAGCGCCACTGATATCTTTTAATTAATTATTTATTTTTCATAAATATATAATTCATACTATTCTTTGTTTTATTACACTACAATCTATAAGTTCAGATTGCGAGCCTTGTCCCATAATTTGGAACAAACGTAACGTAACGCCGTAACGTGCTAAACATAAGTAGGTAGGGTCCGGGGCATACGTTAACCTACAAGCAAATATCTGTAAGCATTGAATATATCTTTCACATTTAAATTTGCAATCGTGAAAATGAGTGCTCCAATTAGTACAGCAATGGATAGTTTATCAGCTGCAATTAAATCTAATATAATTCCAAATCAAGAATACTTATTACAAGGATCGGTATTAGATAGTGCTGTAGAAGTGTTACTTCACAGGTTACGTGGTTTATGTGACAATGTCGATACTGGACCAGAAACTTTTTACGACCATGAAATGTGTTTTAGTATTAGGTCAGTAAAAGTAATTCTAGAAATACCATTAAAGCTTGGCAAAGTTACATAATTGTTTAATGTTTCATGTTTTAGAGGAGCAGAACAACCATTACTTTTACATATAAGAAGAGCTTTGGATTACCAAGATATGCCTTGGCAATTACGTTATATTGGTCAACCCGAACTGGGTGACAAATCACGTCCAACAATTGTTAGAAGTAGCTTAGATATAGCAACCAGTAACACAGTTGTCGACTTCTTGACAGAGCTTGGATGTAGGTTGGATTTTGAGTACATTGCTCGTGGTTATATGTTTCGTAAAGGTAGAATGAAAGTTACCGTTTCTAAGATATTTAAAATGGCACAACAAGGGAAAATGCCTGAAAGTATGGAAGCTATATCTCAAAGCTATCTAGTCGAATTGAGTGTTTTAGCACCAAGTGGTCAAGATGCAATTGCAGAAGATATGAGAATTTTTGCAGAGCAGTTGAAACCCTTAGTACAACTTGAAAAAATTGACTATAAAAGACTTGTTCATTAATACAGGAATGATATGCAAACCCGTATTGTATTTTTAATTATACCAAGAAGTTTTGTAAATCTCCTCGTAGACTTGTATATAAAACAATTTTTTATAATTTCAAAAGGTGTAACAATAAAAGAAATTTATATTTTATTTACTTTAATTACATTGATGTATATAGTTGTAGCATATAGTTGACCGAACTTCAAATTTTATTCCTGGTGTTTCGACGCATGTGTGGGAGAATGCTATTTATCTACTGGATGTACAATGTGAATCAAATTAGAGTATTTATCGATTTTCGGAAACAGTTATTTAACTTTACGTTTCTTCAATTAAGAGACTAGTACAAAGTTTTATTATCAAAAGAAAACCGTTTTCTTGCAATAAATTAGGTATATTCAACTGTAATGACAAGTAATTTACAATTATAGCATAATAAAGCATTTCATTTGTATATTGATAATTAAAACTAGTTTCAATTAATTAAGATTTTAAATATATAAATCGGTGGAAATCAACTATTCAATTTTTCAATATAAATATATTGATATTTCAAAGGAATTAAATATTAATTTGACCAGAAAGTAGAGAGTAATACATGTACACCAATGCCATCTTAGAAAGGAGGACACGGAAGAAGATCAACGCTACACACGCCACCATTTTGTGAGCATTTCTACTTGCGCGGTTCGAAGGAACGGTTGTGTGTGTTGCAAAGTTGTGAAGTTCTTTTAACCAATTTACTCCTTCAAAACGTAAGTAAAACAGAACATTTCATTTAAATCATGGTTGATATTGTTTTTTTGTAATTACTTATAAAAGAATCGTGAGTGAACAGAGAAAATACTGTATAAAATATCCATGGCGTCGGTTCTGTTAGTTCTGATACAGGCTAATTTTCCATATTATTTCTATATTTGTAAGAATAAAAATACAAAAGGAATACAAATTATTTGCTGTTGTAGCACTTTAAATCAAGTGATATAGCTATTCTCGTATTAATTGAAATATTTATATCTGGTGTAATTAGTCTGCGTTACTGCAGCAAATTGAGAACACAACATGGCGGTTCTCCGACTTTCCCTTTTCAGCATAATTTACTGTATTTTGTGTTTAACATATAAATTCGTAATTTAATTATTTGCGTCTGTTAGACTGGAGTTTGAAACTTGTATAGATAAAATATGAGTTGGTTTTTGTTTCGTAAATATCTAAGTAGATAGCAGTATTTTCAATACCAGTCGATATTTTGTTAATATAGGTAAACTGACAGTAGTCGTTAATAATTTATTCACAATTCACCGTTTTTAATAGTAGAATTGTCGAGAATAATGTTTTTATTCATGGAGCATATGTTAATGTTTGAAATAGTGTGAAATTATGAGAGAATTATAGTGGATTCATGAAAGCAAGAAGTTAATGTAATTTTTTTAGAATATTGACTAGTTGGAAGTTTTCCTTTCAGCTGAGGTCTTTCTGTTAACTCCTACTTATTTTATATTTGTACCTGCAAAGCATCGTACAACTATTCTCCATATTTCTTTGATGCTTCAACCTTCTTGTTTCTTACGTTCCATTTCTTTGCTTTTCAAATTATCTTTGGCACGAATTCACCAGAGCGACCTTATGGTATGGTATACTGAATAACCAATTTTACAAAGTCAAGATGTTTATTTTTAAAAGTTGGCATTGTCAACATCATTGTACTAATATTATTTACATGTATTCTTATTATGAGTGTTATAGCTCTGTGCTTCTTCGCCAAATGATTTTGAATTGTAATATTGATGTCACAACTTTGAAGTAAAATGACACTTAGATAATATTTAATGCCAATAGTTCATGTAAGAACTTTGACATTATTTGATCCATTTATATATACCTAGAAGTTCAAGACCAAATTTAATGTTCTTTTTGTATATGAATACATGAAGGACTTAGTCTTATTGATGCTGGCAATTATCGTAGGCTTCTACAGCACTATAACAAGTGCTAAAAACATATTTGATAACTACTGTTCATATGCATATTATTTTATATATTCCACAAATATGGCTCAAAGATTTAATTTTACATTTTTCACCAATAATAATATTATACTGTTTATATTGTTATATAATACTGTGTTTATTGTTAATAAAAAGAGCAATATTTTATTTTTTACAGACAAAATGTCACGTTATCGTGAATGGGATCTTTCGTGCAAAGTTTATGTTGGAAATTTGGGCAGCAGTGCAAGCAAACATGAAATTGAAAGCGCATTCAGTAAATATGGTCCACTAAGAAATGTATGGGTTGCCAGAAATCCACCTGGATTTGCTTTTGTAGAATTTGAAGATCCAAGAGATGCTGAAGATGCAGTTAGGGGACTAGATGGAACGTAAGTATTATATAGAGAATATTTAATATATAATCAATATGTAGTGAAAACATTAATAGAGCAATAAATTTCAATAATTAAAAAAATGAATTATCTTATTCATAGACGCTGTTGTGGAACCAGAGTAAGGGTAGAGATGTCCTCCGGCAGAAGTCGACGTGGTGGTGGTGGACGTAGACCCGGTCCAAGATACTCCAGGTAAGAAATCTCAAAATGATAAGCATCCGCATTTTACAGCAACGTTGAGCTGCTGCAGATGGCTAAGTGTCTTGCCAAGTAGGTATTACAGTGCAGTTAATGAGTAAGAATGTCAAGAAACTATGCACGGGTTTCGGTGATTCTCTTTTATGCACAGCGGATATAAATCAGTATTTTTTTTCAGTATTTTGTATAGGAATGCGGATAGTAATATATTATATGCTGCATTTATTTGATCTTAATGCTCTTTTGGCTACTGTTTTTGCATTAATAAAAACAAGGAGAAGCAATAATGTATAAAGTAATAATAATAAACGTAGCTTTAAGCATTGACGTTAGCCAAAGAGCAGTCAAATACACTGCATGGGAAACGTGAACAATAAAAGCTAGGACAAAAATTTAGTTATGGCAGAGGTAGCGATATTATTTAGAGCTATTTTTTTTCCCGTTGTAATCTCCATGTGACTATGCTTAGTGAACAACAGGATTCACATACCATATATCTTTTTGACAACCTTATAGGTCCAGATCTCGCAGTCCCCGAAGGAAATCGCTGGGTCGTTACCCCAGGTAAGATTTTCCTATCCCTGTTGACTGAAAATTTTCAGGTTCGAGTAGACAAATGAAAGAAATCAAAGCGAAACACGGTGATCAACAACATTACGAGGAGTCAAACATAGTTTTTCTTAATTTTGTTTAGGTCCTGGTCAAGAAGTCCGCGGAGATCACCGATAAGTCGATTATCCAGGTAATTTTTCTTTATTTTATGATTTTATCCAATTTTCAGAGCCTCATCAAGAACAGTCGATCTACAAGTTACAAGTAGGTATTTGCAAGTACCGCTTGTATTGTGATCATCGCAAATTTTGCACGCAGAATCACAATGGTCATGTAAGACATGTAGAGTAATTATATCAAAATGTATTGGAAATGGCGTTATTGCATAACTGTTACGATCGGTGGTCAAATGTTGTTAATTGATTGGCGTAAGTTGGAGAGAACAGGACTAAAATAAAGTGCGGTAGACGGAGGACGAAGATAGAGTTTGAAACACAGAAAAAAAGAACTTGTATAAGATCAAGAATTAGTTGGTAACTACGAAGCTTATTCGGTGCATAGAGAGTAGCACCGGTGGCGTATAAAAAGAAATCATAGCGGTGTCTGGTGTTAATTTTATCATTTCGAAGTAACATATTTTTGATGCTTATTGTGCTCTTACCATATAGAATCTGATTGATTTAACTGTGTAAGCGCCAGGATATAATTATTTGGTATCTGAAAACTAATGTTCTATGATTCAAAGGATATTAGTAACTATTGATATCATTTATTCTGGTCATTTCAAATATTGAACAAACTTTTCAGATACCGAATGAAGTATAAATTAAATTTCTTTAGACGGTAAAATATTCTTATATTAAAATGCACACTAACGTGCAAGTAGCTGAAACGCATTTCGTGCTTTAGTCACTTTTATTTATCGTACACGCATCGAAGCAGCTTACAGTTTCCTCAATTATATTTTTTACATTAGCTTTGTAAAGCTGAATTTTTATTTTGCTCTTATAATACAAAGTATTATTTTGGCATACTGCATCATGCGTTACGATAAGTACATACAGGATAAGCTGATGATTATACATCCATCATATAAGTTTAATCAATTAGTTGCAAGTAGAGTCTTCTTTTGTACGCATTAGAGTGGGCAGTCTAGGATATAATCGTAATGAATCTATCGATGATAAGTGAAACATGTGCAATTTTGTAAATTTGGATTAAGGAAAACTCGTGTATACCGATAGTGGCCAGGAGTATGATAACTTTGATGGTTATATTGCTAAAACTGACGTTTGCAGATTCTACCAGCGTCAGCTCCTAGCTCTGCTCGTCTCCCCGCCACTACTACTACTGCTACTACTACTACTACTACAGCCACCGTGAAAAAAAGTCTAGCAATCAAAACTGAACAAAAAAAAGCCTGCCTGCCCACTAACTTCCCAACCAGTCACCATCAGTCACCACCAGTCACCGGTAGGAGCCAAGTCGTCCGTCAGTTGACAGTCCGATGCTGTCCGTCAGTCCGTCAGTCCGTCTGTAACCCCTTCAAAAAGACTTCTTCGGGCTACCTCAACCTCTAGCGGCTAGGAGCATCGTGAATCCATCGAACAGCCGACGCGATATGAACGAATACTTCTGTCAAAATCTCGGCGCGTCAGTCCGTCCGTCCGTCCCAACTTCTACTACTACTACTACTGCTACTACTACTACTCGTCAACCATCACGTTAAACTTAGCCGACAACGCGACCGCCACTTCTCTTCAACTGAGCAAAGCAAAATGATCACCACCTACACACCATCCCACCACCACCCAACCAAGTACCACCACCACCAACCACCACTACATGTTCACAGTTGTCTGGTATTTCACCGATTTTCAAAGATTTTTTATCTTTTTTTTACTTGGGCGTCATGTTCTCTGCAGTCCAATAACATTGTTCATACAAAATATATAATTTTACGTTTCATTCTACATACCGTTAGGAAAGGAACCCAAGACATTTTGTATTATTATTTTGCTTCAATTATTTTTGCGGTAAAACATCATACATTGGACCAGGGAACTGCCGCCTATTACATAATATGTATTTATCAATATATATATATGTTTTTTTTTTATACATCTATTAATATATACATACATATATATTGAACAGTTACTTGTAAAGATTTAATTTAACCAAATTAATCCTACTTTTGTTTATTGGTTTCTCATTATTGGTGAGATGTCATTTTGTATTAATTATTGTGTCTAACTAGTTTTTATTACCCTTTAGGCAAATAGGAATTAGCCAGTCCTAATTCTATTACGGTTGCCTTGCGATCATTTTTGTACCTATGTGTTTAATGTGCGACGTTCTGTTTTGTCTTATATTTCAATGTTCGCAAGATAATTCGATATTACATTTTCTGAAATTAAGTTTCACAGAGTATACCTTCAAATAGTGGCGCTATCACGATTAATAGTGTTGTGAAATGTTAAATGAAGCGGGGAGTCGCACATTAATGAACTGTTTTCCCAATTTTGTAAAAGTGGTGTAATCTTTTTTTTTAATATTTTAGGTCACGGTCCCGTAGCCCTCGCAGGAGATCACTGACCCGTAGCCGCAGCCGAGACCGTCGTTCTCGTTCGGATTCCCGTGACAGACGGTATTGATATAACTACAAATTAAAACCAAACGAAAAAGAAAAAGAAAAGAGGAAGCAGAAATCAGATTTTGCTTTCTTGAAATAAGCGAAACTTCGCGGATAACTTTTGTCAAATTCAACGGGAATGAAACACCTTTCGTGATATATACCGTCCACATTCGTTGACAAATCAAATCATTTGTGTACTCATAAACTAAACGAAGTATCAAGAGTTTTGCCTCGACTAGCATTTAAATGATAAATCTGTGATATTAACGGTTCAAATACCCGGATGACGACAGTTTCAATTAAATTCGTCTGTTGTAACATTCTCTTTACATCGAAATGTCGACGCTCAGTGCAAAGCAACGATGTAGCAAAATTACATCGAGGTGTTAAAGTGAATCTTTTCTAAGTGTATTCTCTATTTACTTGCAGTTAGGTGCTAAAAGTGTCGAGAGAACGGACCGACTAAATGTGCCGGATGGAAGACAAACGAAAACCGATTTTATATGTACATAAAGAAACAATAATAATCGTTACCACGCGTACATACTCGGATCAAGCAATGATGATAATAAAGAGTAAAAGACATTTCATAAGATACGAAACAAACATTCATACTTGTTGGAAGAAATATAGTGGGGATGTAAAAAAAAAAGAGTAGGAGCGGGGATGAAAACACAGTATCATACTTGAATGTTGAGAGTGAAAATCCCAAGGACGAACTGTGTACACTTTTTCGGCACTGTAGCACATCAAGGGCTTGGGTAATTAAAAACACTCAGTGGTTTGTACTCTTATACGAGTATGTCGCTTTCCATTCCGCAATAGTGCTTCGAGTATCTCACTATATTCTTTTCACTAAGTACACATACACGTTTAGGATTTAAGCTGTTAATTTTGTATACGCATGGAAGTCAGCTACGTGCGTAATACTCTTTACACTGGTTCACACAGTACATACACATGCGTGTGCGCTCATACACACATCTTGCTCACGCATACATTACATACACACACTTACACACTATACAAAAGTTAAAAGGACACGATTTTTTTTATGACGCGAGCTATCAAGTGCGTTGGATCTCCTACAAAATGTGCTTACTGCTTTAAAGTGTACGAGTGCGATAAAAGATTCGATTTACAATTAAGAATAATTAACGATTATCAGCATAACCGTGAGTGGTAACCGACGGGAATAATCGATACAGACTTCGGGTCAGAGACGTTTCACCGTGAAGAAGGTAACGGAAAAAGGAGAAATGACCGTTTTATGTTGTATTAATTATTTTGTACTCTTACGAATCTAAGATTAAAAATAAAAAAGTGTATCGTATTACGAGTTTGACTTCCCTATTGCAAATAGCGATTTCATGTTTACTAATAAATAACAATAAAGTTTTAAAATAGCAGCAGATGAATGTCCTTCCCCCGTTCCTCTGGTACTACGTGCTGCATACCATTTAACAATAAAAAAGAAAACATTTTACGCTACAGAAGTTGAAAATTAATTCTCACTTAACGGTTAAATGTTTTTTCGATTCATCAATACTGCCAACGCAGTAAGTAAGTGAACTCTTTATATAATATCTTTAAATATAAGCGGAATTGCCTAAAGTAAGCATACATAGTCGAACACCTTGCTGACAATGATGATAATCTCTTATAGGCAGAGCTAGGGTTTCGTCCAAAAGTTTCAAAATTTCTAAATAAGATATTAATGCTTCCGCGTTTTTTCCTTTTTCCAAGTTTCTCGCGGCAGTTTTGTAAAGTGCATCCGTATCTTGTAAGGCCTTCAAGCCTTTTAAAATGTTGGTGTTGTTGCCACATTTGGGGCACCTGATCATGAATTCGTTCGTATCCGTTCTCACTGGTAGAACGTTACCACATTCCGGCCCAGTTTCACATTTAAATCTGTAGAAGTAAAATTAATTTTTTAAATGAATAAGTTTCAAAACAAAATATTTTAAACTGTATTCTAAGATTTGTTATTGCAATGTTCTATTTGGTTTTGTATTTTGAGTAATACCTTAGAATCAATGGATCGATTTCTTCTAACAAAGGCCAGTGTCCTGTGCATGCTTCGCATTGACAGTCGAACCAATACTGCAACCTCAGGGTCCTCTTCCGTTCAGATTCAGGAGCTATTGTAAAAATTGGACCATAATTTTCAGAGATTTCTTTTCCCTTTGCGATTGAGCGAATAGCTCTTACAACCATAGTAGTACCGACGTAGTATCTGTAAATACGAAAATAATATTTACAATTTACCTTATGATGATGATGTGAACATTTATATTTGGGGAATAACCGTTATAAATTAACGATCACGCTAACATATCGTTAATATTTCAATATTTATTTTTGTTAGTTACGTGGAGTATGATTAAATTTTGCAGTTTTTAAATAAAGAAGTCTACTTGCCTGATGATACCAGGATTGCATGAATGATTAAATAGCGACACTGTCGGATATAATCCACCACCAATAAAAATGCTTTTAGCGTTTGCCAAAGTTTTTTTGCCTTTTGGTATTGTCAATTCTGATATCTGAAAATTGATATATCATTTATTCACAATGTTTTGATACGAGGCTTTCTTGGTCGACTTTACGTGTTCACAAAATCGATATTTTTCTGAACTGTCACTGTACAAATTTTTATTAAGTTTTTTAAATATATCCAAAATTTGTTTTTAATACATATATTTTTTTTCTTGTATACATATACTGTATACTTCAATTAATGCCAATCCTTTAGACAAACATATATAATTTACCTCATGAGAATTGAATTGTAGCAACATCAAGCTTTGTAAAATTAAACCTCCAATAAATAATTCACCTTCGGAGGCTTTCACTTCCGCTGTGTCTGGAGTTTTAACGCTTTCAGGAAAGTACGGGCCCTTTTTTAAAAGTCTCAATAACCAACTGGCTATGTAGGTCCTATGGAGAAGATCTTTTGTCGTTCTTTCGTCTACATGAGTTACTATACGAAGAGAAATATTAATGTATATTTTACATAGAATGTGTCACGAAGTGCGTGCACATCTACTTTTCTCGTAATAACTTTATAAGAATAAGCGATATGTTCAAAAAGATTGTTTCTTTTCGTAGCTTATTACATACAGAAAATGAGATAATTGCAGGTAAATTCATTTCATACAACCGTGGATCATTCTATACGTTCTGTACATACTGCTTTGTATAAAGTTGTTGCAAGAAAAGTGCCTATATTAATACGTTTCTCGCCCACTGTATATGTAAATATGAGTGCATATTATACATGTACTTCTGAGAGGCCCTCAGGGGCTGTAGCTATGATCTATGGTTGATTGTAGCTACAGTACGGGTTCAGCGATCCCGAGGTACCCGAGCTAGGAGCCAGTGGGCCCCATGAGACTATTAGCATCCCTAAAGGTGATGCTAGAGAGTTATAAAGTAATGTGAGTCAAGAGTTATAGTCAAGTTATTCGTCTTCGCACTTCTATAAATAAAACTCACTCATTCAATCATACTTTTGAGAGGAATCGCGTTAGAAAATTGCATGTATATTTCAATTGGCTTATAACGTTAGATAAATACTCGTTAGTATTATTCTAATAAATATTAACTGCAAAATTAATTACTTAATCCGTAGTAGGCCTCAAAGTCATCGCTTCTATGAGGTCGCTCTGCCGTGACTTCGAATCTACCCTTGGAAGCTTTCAGTTTATCTTTCAGCGCAAACAGTTCCTCGAACGGTCGTTGCGTAACCGATCTTAAGGCTAAAAAACACGTTATGGAAGTTTTCGAATTCCACAACGTGGGTAGTAACGTGCATTCGTTTCGATGCACCGTTGCATCCGCATCTCTGCAAGGTATACTGCAGTAAGCTACGCAACTGCATGTATTGCAAGCAGCTGGTGTTGGCACAAATATCCTCGACAAGCAAGAGTGACAATGTGTGAGTCTGAAATTAAATATAACGTTAATTGTAGCTTCTTTTGTAAATTATCTTCCGAAACATGTGCCTCAGGTAACTCAGCTTGCATGTCAAATTTGTATACAAGGGTGGTTAACGCAACTTGCACAGCTTGGTGAACGTCTGAAGCATACATTTTATGAAAATAGTTTTTATACAAAACTTGCATTATTGGAGGGGGTACATTACATAGTGTATACTTGAAGTCTCCAAAATGCCTCCGCTCATAAAAAGAGCATTTGTAACTTTTCTATAAAAAGTTTTTTCATATAATACTACAGTTTAGAAATTAATAGAAGTGTGCAAATTCTGTGGACTACCCTGTGTATTATAGGTTTACATTATGATTTTTATCACAGAGATATAGAGTAGTTGCAATAGTAAAAGTCATCTGTAACAACTATACAGGGTGTTCAAAAAAAAGCATTCAATATTTATATGATGCATAGGGCACACTGTACCGAGTAAAAAAGCTTTAGTAAACATAGGTCAACCGTTTCTGAGATAAACATTTTTGTTTGCTAGTATCATGATTGACTTACTTGCTTCCATCGCATGCGATGTTTATGCCAGTGTTTATAAATTGCGTTCTGAATGTTCCTATTCAAGTGCCGACAATTTTGTCAATTTCATTTTTTTATGTTTACTAAAGCTTTTTTGCTCAGTACAGTGTGCCCTATACACCATATAAATATTGAATGCTTTTTTTTTAACACCCTGTATAGCTGATACATCCTAGTAGCAATAGATATTGAATATTCATCCCATGGTCGCACCTGTATTCGGCCAATAAGAATGCGCAATGCGGTTTTTCTACAACAAGTATTTCACCAGGTTCAATATTTTTAGTCGCAACAGCGTGTCTTCCTATATCGCCACCGTCATCTCTAATTTCAACAGCTTTACTACACGAAGGGTACAAAGGGTTGTAATCCTTCATTTCGAGAGTCGATCCGCTAGTCTTCTTCGGTTCGCTACTCTTCTGCGTCTCTTGTGCTCCCTTCGATTCTTTCTGCGCAATCTCGTTACCCTTTTCCATCACCGCAAGCATGACTCTGATGTCCGATTCTATCTTCTGTTTCTTCTCTAACGACAACTTTGTATAGTCCAGAGCTTTTAAAGCGCTCCTAAACGCTTGCACTGCCTCTGCGTGCCTTTTCAAACCGAGTAAGCATTTAGCACGTCTTTCTTCAATTTTGTACAACAATTCCCGTGGATAGCCAACTCGTATGGCTTCCGCAGCGTCTGTCAGAGCGTAATTGTAACGTTCCAGATAATAAAGCGTCGCCGAGCGATTGGCCAATATAACACCCAACTCTGAAAAATAGAATTTCGTTAGAATTTTCGTATGTTGCTTGGTGAAAGTAGAGTACACAGAGTGGTTCTGTAGGAGATTAAAACAGAAAAAATTGATAAATATTAGGTCATTCCACAAGTTCACTTATTATTCTGATTTTCAAATCTATATGTATATGGAAATACATATACGAAAATCAACATTGAGAAAGTACAAAAATATTCTATTATACGACGATTCCCTAATCCAAACACTTACATCCATCGATTAATTCGAATAATCTGAGTTCTACTTACTCGAATTACTACGTCAGGCTGTGTTTGAGCTTGGAATGAGTACTTGAACTCCCAAGGGTAACTAAACCAACCACGACCGGTCAAATGATCGTTTTCAAGCTTTTATATACAGTTCTTATATGCAATATACGAATTATACAATTGTTTCGCGCATTATTCAATTTATTACTACGTGAAATATTTTTAACCGACTTCGAAAAGAAGGAGATTACTCAATTCGACATGTATATTTTTTTGTTTGCATTGGAATGAATGAACTGACTTTAAAACTAGTTATTTGTCCAACCACGGTAGAAATAGATCCAAATGAAGGGTCGGTAGGTTTAGTGTTAAATAAATACTGTTGATAGTATCGATAGTGATTTACCTTGTCGAGGTGCGAGTAGAACAGCATTCGAGTACAGTTCTAGGGCCATTCGAAATTCACCCCGACCAAAGTACTTGTTGCCTACGTCCTTTAGTTGGAGAGCTTTCTCGCTGCTCTTCAGCATCTGATTGTCTTCGTCCAAGGGCAGACTGTGGGCTTGAGGGTAGCTCAGTACGAAATCGATCCTCTCCGCGTTACTGTCCAAGGAACCGAATCGCTTTGAATCCTGCGGACTGATTGCATTTTGCAACTCAAACAGATTCGCACTGAAATAACTATTACTGATCTCGCTGTCTGAATCGCTCCTCAACATTTTTTCCTCGTTTTTTGATAACCTTTATTCGTACAGAATTTCTACGATATACTTTATACACCGCAAGCAATGCTTTTAATTCCAACGCCTCTATCGTTTCTCTATTGCCATTCGTAAAACTATTTACGAATTTATCTCCTATTGTTCGGTCGCCTTTGAGTACAGAAGAATTTCGACGCTTTTTCTTTTTTTACAACGGTGCAGAAATGCAGAATAAAGTTTAAATTAATTCACCGTGAATGCTCTTATAGAAAGTAACTTTACATACTATCACAGTTACGTACGTATGTATACAGAAGCTGAAACAATGTTTTTGTTTTAATTTGTTGTTTATGGTCGTATCAACCACTCGAACACATTATTAACGCGTCAGTAAAAGCTATTGATTGTTTTTTGTTTGTTCTCCCTTTTCTTTAGTGAAGAGAATCCTTTTGTTTTTTATCGAATTAGCAGAATTTTGTTTTTTAAGAAAGCTGCTCTATCGTTAGTGGAATTGTTCGATCGAGCTTGTATCTGAATGATACGTTGCCGGTCGACGACACCCAAAGCTACTGGCATCATCTACGGCTCCCCAAAAACTATGTTCGTCTATTTCCACGCAGGCTATTTTTGTCGGCGTAAGACGTAGAGCTGTGCGATACGACAAGGAAGCACGACAGAAGCATGTGTAATTGCAAAAGCGCAATTGTGTTGGATCAGGGTAAATTTCGACTGTAACAAAAATAAAAAGTGACGGTAATTAGTTACTACACTAACGACAGTAGTATATCTACTATGCAATTAATCAAGTTTTAGCTGTGGATCATGCAAAAAGGACACCAACTTATTTATTATTTTCTAATTTAACTATTCACAAGCATAGAATACGAATTTTTTTTTTAAATAGAGTGACTTTCTTGAAGTGTTCTTAATTTTATTTGAAACTTATTATCCGTGCACTTGTTATTAACAAAATAGATGATCTCCATCATACAAGTGTACACAATTACAAATAATGCAAGTAAATCCTATAACAAGCAAAGTTAGGACGTTTCTTTAATTTATTAATTACTAATCATTAGATTGCGAATGTTTATTCATTTATGGCAAGTGAAAATACGAGAAAATGTCTGAGGAAATGCACAAATGCAAAACTATAAAATACCGTTACACTGTTTAGAAGATGAAAAATATTTTTATTTTAATTTAAATTCTTTATTTGCATCTTTAATAATGTAAATTTTCATAGACACCCTTAGTCTACTAATGAATTTTTGACGCCGTTATCGTTATATGTTAAGAAAGGGCAGCCGGTCCTACATCGGTTTCATTCAAGTGACCCTCATTTTACGTGGCATATCAGTATTCGTGACAGAGCTGGATATAAATTTATTCGAATGAAAATAGAAATAGTTATTTATAAATCCAAACAGATGGACTGATCTGATATTCAACAGCCACCGTCATTTGGGCAAGAATATTCATAGACAGGAGTTAAAGGATTAATGAAAAGAAACAACGTCGATATTAAAAGATAAACGATTTATGTACACTTAAAGTGTGACGTAAGCTACGTGTCCATACGTGATAATCTGTTACGAAATCTTATAAGCTAATTTAAGTACAATATATACAAAACTTAAACGACGTAGAAAACGTTGAGATGACATGTACATGAATGCGGTATGTTTTTGGTGAGAAGAATACAAAACTATGGAACTAAATTCTACAAAGTCGAATATGATTCCAATGGCTGTATGAATGCGCGAGATGTAACATTGCTTATGATGTTTTACTGTTAAAAGCGTTAATTATGCGATAAGAAGTTTTACATGATATACGAAAACATATGCATCAACTATCGAAAATGTAGAACTTTTTAGTCCTTTTCTAATCAGTAAATAATACAGGAAACGTCAAGTTCAAAATAATTTTTGTTTTAAAATAGTATCAATATATATATATATACGACAAATACATCAATTATATTATTGGTAACGACCAAATTTGAACAGTTGTTTTTAGACTGAGATTAGCCTTTTCAAATTGAATATTGTTTTACATACTTTCTTTGTTTCATTGTTTGCGAAAACTATTGCGAGCCCTTACAGAAAGAATGAATAGTGAAGAATTAAAAGTAAATTCGTTCAGATATTCGATTGTAAATTACTTTACTCCAGTACGAGCACATCTATTTTGAAACGTCTTTTTTTATTTATTTTTATTATTAAATGTATTTCTAATTAAGAAGACTGAATTTTCACGATCCACGAAGAAGTGGTTCAATACTCATTATTTTTGTACGATAATAACACAATCAATTTACTGTCTTGTAAATCGGATTTGTTATTACTATAACAGTGATTTCGAAACTTTTTGGAAGGTGCTCTCCTCCCCTTTTCTTAGAAAAAGAGAGTTTCTGCGCTTGGAATGTATAAACAAATAACTTTTGTTAAATTCAATCAATTAATCCAGAATTAAATTGATTTCTCTGTAGGGAAGAAGAATGAAACTGCTAGTCAGCTTTTTTTTTGCGAATATAACTCGTCTATGAAGAGGTCAATAGCAATATGGAAGAAAATGCAAGAACATGGTTTCTTGAAGGACTGGTCAATCTATAATAAATAAAATTTCCACATTCCCTTCGGATTTTTAAAATCATAAAAGTTTATGCAGAACATCGGGTAGGAGAAATAATTCCACTTTCTCCTGTAAATCGAACGATGATTTTCGTTCTCCCGTGAGATTCATCATGAAAGATTTATTTCAGTACCGTGAACAGTGTCTCACTGTTTTCTAATGTTAACTTTTAACTATCTTCACTAAATCATATTTGATTCGAGAAAAGGAAGTCTTTTTGTTTAAAACCAAATGATCACTGTTTACGTCTTCCACACTGAATATTTCTATACTTAAATCTGTTTAATACAGCGTCATTTCTTTCTGGTCTTGCTCGAACAAAAATATGTTATAATATGTTATAATATGTATTTAAATATTACAACACAGTACTTAAATCATCCTCAATATTGTAAACATTAGAAATCGTTGTATCGAAAGTCGATTATTTTAATGAGTTACAAAACAGTAGTTTCACTCTGTGAATTCATAACTAGTGTCTTAATATTCATTAGAATAATTAAATTAATAACGATTTGTAATGGTAGCAGTATCGAAGATAACTCAAACACAGAATCGAAGCCTTCAGATAAATATTTTTTTCCATATGCGAGACTAGGAAGAAATTGCCATGTATTTTACTCGATCAAAATCCTTTTGATTTTTAAACTGTCTAAACTTTAGAGTAATAAATAAATACTTGAAGTGAGGATCGGGAACACTGATCGTTTAACTGACCCTGATCTTTAAATGAAAAATTTGCTTCTTTTGTATAAAATACGACCCAGTGATTGCAGTTAATAATTAACCCTTTCAGATCTGAATTATTTTCTTCTCGTACTAATGTAATTTAATTTTTAAGGTGAACTTGGATTACAGTTATTATGGAAAAAATTTAAACTAAAATCCTAATAGTGTAGTTTTCGAGAAAAACTGGACATTCGTCCTAAACTATAGTGTCGGTAATTTTTAAATTTTGTGTCCTCAATCGTGGACGCCGTGTCTGAAAGAGTTAAGACAGTTTTCGATTCGTTTCCTTTCTTTTCAAGGAGGATCCATCACTAGGGATAGCGATTTTGAATTCTGTTTTCAGAAATCGTAAGATGCTTCATCGTCCTCCTTGCGTCTAAACGCCACCCTGTAGAGGCCACCGGCAGCGCAAGCTCCCATAATCGGCCCAACCCAGTAAATCCATAAGTTCTTCCATTCGCTTAGGATGACAGCAGGACCTAACGTCCTGGCAGGATTCATGCTGCTTCCTGTAACGGGCACGGCTGCCATATGAGCCACGGTAATGGCCAATCCGATCGCCATCGGTGCCCATCCCCTCGTGTCGGTTCTCTTGGGGTCGGTCACTGCGTGGACGACCAGAATCAGGAGGAAAGTGATGATACCTTCCATGAAGAGACCTTGACTCTCGGTGACTGACAGGGAAAGAGCAGTGGCACCCAAGCCATTACGAGCTGCTGTTGTTGGGATCAGCACCTGAGGAAATAGTGATAAAAGGAATTATTAGAAAGATGTTTAGTAAGTTGGAGGACTGCTTCTTCATTGTGTCCCATTCTTGACGGGATCATTGAGTTTAATTGCTTACAATATTCGATGGAACCCTTAATAAGCGGTTTATAACTGTTGGATGACTCCTTGTTTACTGTTACTCATCCTGAATCACTACATTAACTACACAACATTCATTTTGACCTAATTTACACTTTACATGTACATTTTTTTTTTACCAAATAATTTTAGTCTTTTCACAAAATGAAGTATACGTCTTAATTATACGATATCTCTGATAACCAATAACAATATTAATGACGGTTGACAGCACCATCAATTTGAAATATTAAAATAAATGCCTCGCAAGTTGTTTGCAGAAAACAAAAATTCGCCCCATAGAGGGTTAAAGGCCTTTCTTTAGAGGCACTAATGCCTATCATACGAGTATGTTGCAAGTAAACATAAATTTCCACAGAAGTAAGTGATAAAAAGTTTCAATAATAAGTTTCAATATTAATTTAACATTACAAGGGTGAAATTTTGCTACGATGAAAATTCATCAATTCTCTAGAGAAACGAAAACTGCATTAAACTTCGAAACATAATTACAATTTGATAGAACCAAATTGTCCAAAATCACAAGAAAATATTGTTTTAACTGACCCTTTAAAAATTGTAATAATTCTATCTTTTGAATGAATTTTTGCACTGCGGTTTTCTATAGCTTACTCCAATCATTTAAATTTACTGAAATTACAATTTATGAGACTTGAAGAATGGTCCGATATATAATTACTCTTCATTTGCTTTTTCGCCGATGTCAATTAACGGTATGACACCAAACATTATGTCATGGTCCAAGGAAGAAAACTGTACTCGATCTTTAATCGTAGAGTTTTTATTGGGCGATTACGGACGCATACGTTCAAAAGGAGCAGGTTCTCGACGATCAAATTCAGTTACTGTGAAAGGTTAATTGTTAACGTATTGCATTATGTTATTTAATGGACTAGTGGTTCGGTTAAATGGACATTGCACCATGTACTAATTTATCATCGTTTCGAATAACGTTTAATTTATTTATTATTCGATACTGTTTTCTTTTACTAATGAAGGCATTACTAGTGAAAGCATAAAGAAAGTGTAAGGTTAATATGAAAATCTGTTTAATGAATTAATTAATGAATTGCAATGACAATTTTTGCCAGAAGTCTATTTTTTTCAGAGTAAATAAACTCTACGATAAGATAAGATATATTTAGAAGAAATTCAACATCTGATACATGTACATTTTATTGTTTTGTTAGTTGATTATGTCCCATTTTATTATAACAATCCTTTAACGATGATATTGATGTGTTCTGGGCACAATGAAGCCAAAGGTTTTGTTTTGTTTTCACTCTAGAGTGAAGATTTATAACAAATCGTAACGTAAATATTTATATTTTGCACGGAACAATATTTAATCTGATGTACTCTCCTATATCAGAAAATAATAGTGATTACTGTATCTACTTCGGGAAAACATTAAGCAACATATCTCGATTCTTCTCAATTGTTTAGTCTTTTGATTCCATCCTGTGGTGTTGTTTTTCTCTGTGGAAGAAAGATGAGTTTTATCTGGGCAATGTATTTCATAAAGGTTATCCATTACGATCTTTGACAGTCTGTGGAAAACATAATCAAAAACAATACGGTTAAGATACAATAACACTTTGTATGTACGTATTGCCACCATTACTATTCACAACTAAATAATTCGTTCCCATCTTTCCAGTTTCTCCAGTTTTCTAAGATTTTTCTCATTTTTCTGATTTTGCTTCCTTATTATAGCAAATTTGTTGCCAATTACAATTACACATATTCCAACTATTTTTCATTGAACCGTATGCTTCGTAATTTTGATCATAGTAATTTTCCTCGTTCCTATTTGTTCAACTCGATCGAATAAAATTCCACTAACGAGCCTGTAGTTCTCCAATTTCCCAGTACGCAACTATTTATCTCGCATATAGACTTTGTACTTTTTTGATGAAGTAGCTTTTAGTCATTTGTCTTCATTACATTATGAATTCTAATGTAATTGCACCCCCGCCGTTATACGCCGCTGAATGCAATGCACTTACGGCCAATCATAGAAATTAATGTGCTCATGAATTAACTGTCACGAATCGACGGTGCATCGTGCATTTAGTCTGCGTAATTCGCCTCGCTTGTCAGTTTCTGATGTAACCAGCGTCGGTAAACACATGATAAGACCCTGACCTTGCTGAACATCGTAATTGACGCATGATGATTGTAGACTGCTCTTCGGTAACCGACGTGTAAAAATAGAAGAGACAAACAGTTCCACAAAGATGAAGTATATTATTCGTTTAATAGGTATTTGGTTTCTTAGGACTAGCAAAGAAAGTTCGACATTTCGAAAATTTAGAAAGAGTAAACTTTACGGAAATGTAGCGTAATTAATGATTATTTATTTTGGTAATGGAAGGATCCAAAAGGTGAAATACTCACTCAAAGAAATTATGAATTTTCATATTACTGTGAATATTGAAGATTCCATGTTTTATAGATTTCGATATAGTACGGTATGGTGAAAATGAATTTTCTAGAAAGAAACGACAAAGTTTTCTTTATTTTCAGGCCGTGGTTTCTATCCCGAGATTAACAATATCGTTTTTAGTATTACTCTGCAAGTGTAAGGTCCTGAAAAATGATTTTAAAGGTGAAAACATCCCTTGAAAGAAACTCTAATTTTTGCTAACGTCTCTCAAATAATGATGTTGGAAGAGTGTTGAATATAAAATATTATTGTTTTAATGCAATCTGTAACACTATGATAAAAGATTTATGCAATAAATATGTTCAAGACATTTCCTTCATGATTCTTTTAATTTCGATAAATTCAATTGTTGGGTTATAGTTAGACAGAAAAATGTTTCAAACTCTTTGCAATGTTGTGTGTGAATTGACTGTTACGATTTTCGCAAAGGGTAAAGTTAATCCATAATATCCGACAATATAATAAACCAGATTATAAGTTATTACCACACCCCTTACCTTCGATTCACAAATATAAATTTTAAAGATACAATTGTCAATGAATAACATTTTAGGAACACCTTGAAAGAGTTAGTGATTGTTTCGAAGTTTCTTTACAATATATTCCTCAAATGATGAAGTTTACCTTTAACACTGCGGAACCCGCGATGGCGCCGCAACATTGACAAATGATGTAGCATATTGCTTTCAGAAACGAGCAATTTCCGCTGATTAGAAGGCCGACTGTTACAGCTGGATTCACATGACAGCCTGAAACTGGTCCTAATACCTGAAACACGAGAAAATTGCATATTTGGTTAACGTTATTTCACACAGATTTTGTTACAGATTATTTACATCTCCCAGTAGATCGAGGGGAATGTTACTTTTATCCTCGGATAAAATTTTGGTATTGGAAAGATTATTATACATCCGTTACATTCCTGCGAACATTCTAGTGGAATTTCAGAAAATATTTGCGCCATTCTAGATTCCGACCAGTAAAGAATTCTCGCTTATCAGATCTCTAAACGTCGTGTAAACTTGCGTGATTTATTTTTTGTTTCTCGACAGAAACAGGTTGCATGCGTGAACATTACGTGGAAAGATAAGAGCCCTTGCTCTAAAATTCAACGTCGGATGTGACCGTGGTCGGTGTTCCAAAAAGATCCTCCAATTCTAACTCAAATTTCGCAATTTCTGGGGTACGTTGGTTGATATACACGCGGATAAAAAAGATCTTAAATTTGTCCCGCGTTACGAACGATTTCCTAATAAGCACTGTGCCCCACATACATCTCTGGAGAAATCAAGGCCTTAGATTCGGATGACTACGTTAAGAAAAATATTCGTTTCTAAGTTGACGTCGTCGTTCCTATCGATATTAATTTGGAGTAAATAAAAATGATTTACTTTAGTTTGAAATATTACAATCCCTGGAAATTTTATATAAAAATGATGTATCAATGATTAGTCTACGATCACTCAGAATTAGCACGTTAAATCTTCGCATAATTTCAATCACACGATACGATTACGATGGCATAAGCGAGGAACGAGTTTAAGAAAGATTGACGTAATGCGATTAAATCGAGCCTCTTTTTGTGGCGGCAAAGTACGATACTGTTGCACAAATATTTCGAGGAATTGATCTGACGAGTTAGGTAAAAAGAATAGGACGAGGCAAGTCCATTGAAACGTTGAAGCAACGTATTGAAAATCCTTTCTACGTTCTATCCAAAGTACTATACTGTCAATTATATTCCTAAAAATAAGGTGCCTGTAAACTCACAAGATTAATAGTCTGTGGCGAATCGAAATTAAATAAAACATTGCGAATAACTGTTGTATGAATAAAATACGTATTAAAGAACGACCTTGAATATAAAAAAAACTAGATAAAAGCGTGATCCAAGATGCCTGAGGCCAGATCTCTTTGATCGTACAAACTTAAATGGAGGTGTGATAAAATTATGAAATAATACAAACGTTACATGAAAAAATCAATTTTTTTTTAATTAAGAAGAGAAGTGGTGTGTTGGCAACAAAGTTAGATTCAATTTACAATTTACAATCGTTCGTTTTTATAAGAAAGGAGGCAAAGCTTTCCCCAGGGGTGTAGATCTTGCAAATATTGCAAATGTAACGTTATTTGTAAAAATTCATGTACTATAACATTAACGTTTCTTATGAAAAGTATAGGGACACGTTTGAGTACAGCTTACTTTGGACGTTAGAATAAAATATTTGTTCGCATTACTCGATAGATTTTGTTTTCCGATTGCTGTTACTACAACAAAAAGAATTTCCACTTGTTGCAAGTATGTATCAATTTGTCGAAGAACAAAAACACTTTGCCATTCATGATAATTCAAATATTGTAAATTGTTTGTTTCGTACGAAAGGAAGACGCAATCCGGGCGGCACGTGTACGCAAATTAGGCTGCCACGCGAGAGTAAACCCGTCGCAGACTCTTTGGCGTCAGTGAACTGGTTGGAAATATTTGCGGCGGTATCGTGGCATGAGTCAACGGACAGCAGAGACGATTGCTAATAAGGTACGAAAATTGAAGAAATGAAACAGATATCAAAATGATACGAAGAGATTATGATGCTTCAAACGTTCAAAGAACTCGAGAAGAAAATGAAGAAAACCAACAGGGAAACAAAGATAGAAAAAAGGATGCATCACTGTCTATAACTTTGGAGTCAATTTTCATTTGGTAGTCCTAATTATAATTATTATATGAATAATTCATCATTAGTATTGATAGAAACAAAGGTTAAAACTAAGTGAAATATACATTTTCTTTAATCTCCATTACTTCTTTACATCGGCATTTTCTCAACTGCAATTTGTATACAATGATGATTTAACACAATTAAATATGTAAAAGTATCTAATTTTTATTTTGTTCACTAGTATTATTAGATAGTTTGTTTTGCGGATTTTCTTCTTTTTTGTTCTAAAATTAATGAATGAAAAGTTGTCTTTCTTTTTTTCGTTATATGAAATTTGTATTTAGACAAAAATTTTTCCCATCTCTGCTCACAGATCGTTTCGCGAAGGACGACTATGGTCGGTAGTAGCGAAAAGGTTAAATGACGCAGAACCACATTGATGTCGATAACCTTGTCGAACTTTCCGATATCCATAATACGAACTGGTTGGCTACTGAACATTACCGTTATAAATTGCTAATAATATATTAATATAACACAATGGTATTCAAAGGTATTAAATATTCATAGAACTTTGCAGTGTATCTGTAACTCGCAGGAAAACTACAGTGGGTGTAGAAAGTATTCGTATACCGATCAATTTCCAAAAAAATTGTGTAAAATTGTAATTTATTAACTTATTTTTTTATAAACAATGACAGTCTACATATTCTCTGAAATCTCTAGAATAAATGGATTACAAAAAAAATAGCTATTGATAAAAGTTGCGAAATTAACAAGATAAAAACAATTAATCGATAGAAATGTTGAAGCAATAAGTATTCGGACAACTGTTTAATTTTTAAAACTTGATGAAAAAAAAAAAGAAATCTACATTAATTTACAAGTATGTAATACTTCCTTCGTGGGATTTCCCTTTGATTTTATAATTATTGTAACTCTTCTAAGCATTAAATTAACTAAATTATTAGTTATTCGAAGTGGAATCTTTTTCCATTCCTCTATTAGAACCTTTTTTAAAAGCACTTTACTGGAAATTTGATGTTTTCTAATTCGTACGGAGCAATGAACTAATGTGTTTACGTTACAAACTCTACTGTAAATAGTTCGTCATAAGAATCGTACAAATACTTATTGCTTCTACAATTTTACCCACTTTTGACAGTTTTTTGTTAATTTCACAAATTATATTAACTAGCGAATGTTATTTGGATTATTTCTATCTTAGAGACTTCCGAGAATATGTAAAATATCATTGATTATAAAAACAGAAGTTAAGAAACTATAATTTCACACAAAAGATTTTGGGAAATTGATCGGTGTACGAATACATTCTACACCCACTGTATCTTTATTAAATGTCAAAGCACTTGGTGCTATATTAAAATGACTTTGAGGTACAGAAATATAATTTGTGAACAAAGAAGAGTTTCTTCAAACATTCTTGAAATATTCCTAAGGTGGTATCTGTAAGCTTTAGAACCTCGAGGCATACTTCTTTCGCTTATATAGAATTTTTGCAATCTGTTTTGCAATTTTCTCTCAGAGATATTGCACATCACGATTTCAAGAATGTGTTCACAACAAGTTGAAACTCTTTGAAGGTAAATCACACTTCTTAATGTAATATATTGTGCCATTAGTTCCGTTTCACTACAAAAGCTATTTTTATAGAAGCGTTAGAATTTTTCTGAGGTATTCTGTGTATACTGAGTGTTTTGAATATTGTTCTGTAATAGAATAAGAGATCCTTCCTTGCGAAAACAAGTCGAATTAATTAACTTCGTAAATTTAAAAAGAATCTCAAATATGTACACAATAGAGATTAAGAATTGTTCTAGAAAACGAACACAATTTACACTATTTGAAAATTTAAATCTAAATCGTAAATTTAAATTCAAAAGTCAAATTCACCAGAAAATAGTGCCTGTTTCGAGATTAATTTATATTTCATATTAAGAAACGCAACACAAATTAAATTTCATTTCAGGTGAAATGAGCTCGAAGAAAATAGCAAGAAATCACATTTCTCGACTTAAAATCATCGATGTGGAGTTCCATGCGTAGGCGTCTTCTCGACTTTTCACATTTATTCCTCTTATTGCGAGAGTCAGAAAATGCTTCTCCATGTTCTAATGACACTTTCTTCCGTGTTCTAGCTATGCGTTGAAAATATGTCACAAAAAGTGCCGTTTCAAGATGAGAAAAAAAAACATTGCAAAAATTGGATTTCTCTAATACTCATATCTCTGACGACATCGGTTAAAGATTAAGGAAGCAGATTTATTTCCACGTTAAAGAACTGTGAAGAAACAAGAACGAATCTTGAGTTAGAATCTGTCGCAGATGTTTATCAGATTAACGAAAATTTCTTTAGAAAAAGATAGTTTTGGCAACGAAAACGACTAAGAACGTGGAACGTTTGAACAGGGATTTCGCGCGTAAGAGCCTAATACTTGTCGGCGAGGAGCAAAAGGAAGAAACACGAGTGAAAAGGAGAAGAGAGAGGAGAGGGAAGTGTAAATGCTGTCTAGATCGGTGGCTGGTCCGATTTGAGTCTGGTAGAATCGGGCTGATGGCGGCAGGGCCCGGTGGGGCCCGGCGCGGCCCAGTTCTCATGCACGTCGGCAAGGTCTCGGTTTGCCCCGGGCGTTCAGCACACATGCGCCGACGAGTTGCCGCGATTACGCAACACCATCTTCTTGGTTCATTCGTTTTTCTTTTCTTTTTGCTTTTGTTATTGTTGTTGTTGCTCTTCTTCTTCTTCTTCTTCTTCTTCTTCTTCTTCTTCTTCTTCTTC